GACAGATGAAAAATATTAAAAATCCTTACTCACAGTTTTTTGTTTTAAGCATTTAAATTCCAAATATTAACAAAATACTACAAAATGACCAAAATTTGCAAATTATTTCGAGTTAGAAATTCATAAAAATTTTTCTTTTTAAATCTAAGATATGAAAATGTAATGCAAGATTCCTCATAAGTTTGACTACTTTTATCAAAAAAAAAATGTCTACAAGAATCTCAAATTAAATTTTTATCAACGTTTGAAATTCATATTTTTACAACATTTGATATTCACTCGGTTTCTCATGTAACGATTTTCTAATTTTGTTGTAATTAAAAAACGAATGCCTGTAGATACTTGAAAATTTTACTAAATTTTTATATTAGCATTTCCTATACACCATATAGTTTTGAAAATATTTTGATTCTTTTTGAGCTATTTACCGACATTTTCAGTTTTCAATTTTTTTAATTTTTTTTCTATTCATATCAATAAAATTGTATTTGTATGGTAAAAAAGCTTGAAAATTCAATGCGAAGCTCCTGATATATTGTTACATTAACACTTGAAAAATATTAAAAATACATAGGCACAATTTTTTTTTATAATTATTTAAAATTCAAATTTTGACAAAATTTATCACATTTAAAATGTAATAATAATTTTATAGTTAAAAATTTATAAAATCTTCAACTTTTATAGCTAATGATTGAAAATTTAAAACAAGATTCTACTTAAATATATGTTATATATAAATTGCTTTATTCACCTTAGTATCATCAAATATACTTAGTAATATCATAGGCTGACTTAACCGTCTTCGCTCAGAATTGTTTTTCTTATACAATGATGTTAGTATATCATTGAATTCAAATTTAATACTATCGATTATACAGTGACCCACTTGTACCCTACTGTACAGCAGAGCACCTTTTTTTGTTTATCAAACTTAAATAACTTTTATTTTGATTTTGATATCGGAAATATAAAAACAAAGTTACAGAGTAAATTTTCTCATTTTTCTAGTGTGAAAATTTAGTTTTTTAGCTTAGAGTAGAGCCTGAATGTTTTTTATACCCGTGCAAAACAGTTTTGCCTATGTTGTACCTATACGTCTGTAATACGAAGACAACACATGTGGGTGTACCTAGCGTCTTCTTTACAATCGTACAGACTATTTGATACATTGCACTTTAGAAATTATTGTATACACTGTACAAATTAAATCTAATGCAATGCAGAAATATTAGGATTAGGGGGGTGTGGGGGGCTTTGCCCCCCACGGATCTGTGAACCATAAATTATCCCAGCACCCCCTAAATTAACACCCTATGTGGGCCTATGAAGGTGTATCAATCCACATAACGCAGGTTCAATATATTATAATTATAAAAATGTGTTTCTCAAATTTTTAATTCTAACTTTCTACAGAATAGCTGAAGTGATAACTAGGTATTTAATTAATTAGTTTTAACTACAGTTGTAGATAGGTACCTACCTATAAGTGATCGATTAATAATGTAAAAGATAAAAATTTAATAAATAAAAATGTATATAATATATAGGTGATAGACTTAGGTATCAACTCTGTATAAACATAGTTTTAACTTGTAGAATTGATTTTTAAATTAACTAGAAAAAGCTAAGTTTTTACAGCTCGATTTTCTGTAGATTAATTAGTTAAGTTGAAAAGTTCGAAAAAATTAACTTTTTAACTTGTTAATGTCCACCTTTGATAATATCTATGGATAAAATATGTCCACTACCGGACGTCGTTGCCGTTGTAGTGTGACACAGCTGATATGAAACAATGTGTTCACATTTACCGATGGCGTAACGGCAGCTCCGTGAAACCGTGACCCACAACGGTTTCCAGGATCGCCGGACGGTCATCGACGGTGTAACCGTATAGTGTGACACTACACGTTAATAAGTATGCGTTATTGGCGAACGGTAAGACCGTACGGTTCTCACCGTGCGGCGTAACCGTCGTAGTGTGACACCACCCTAAGAGTAATCGAAGTTTAATCGTGATTAACTGTGTTGGTGAAATCGGCCCTAAATTACTTAAGGGGATTCAATACCGATTTTCTGTTTTTGTCTAACGCACGAGCGACATAAGATTTTAAACGGTTCTTTGCCAAACATACCAATTGATCTAACATAGAGATAAGAATTCTAAAAACAGATTTGAATTTGTCGTCTAGTTGAAATCGACTTTCCCACATTTTTGATTTTAACTTCCCCGGAAATTGAAATACAACCATTTTTAAATACTCTTTTTAGGCATTTGGGGGATAATATCAAAAATATGGGAAAATCAATTTCAAGTATACTTGACGACAAATTAAAATCTGTTTTCAGAATTCATATCGCGTCATTGGATCAATTGGTATGTTTGGCAAAAAACACGTCTAAAATACTATGTTAGACAAAAACAGAAAATCGCGATATCGAATCCCCTTAATTACGTGTACTACAGGCTAGAGCCTAGAGGTATTTAAATATTAAGAAGACGTCACCCCCGCATGTGTTGTCTCCGTTTTTTACGCGGGACAACTTTTCTCGCACCATATTTGTAGTTCACAAAACGTAAAGAAGAACTTTATCTGTGCAACAGCGTGATTTTTTTTTAATAGCTCTATCCAATCATTTTTAAGCAAACGAAAAAAACAAAAAAATTAAATATTTAGAAGCAAATAACTTTTATTGTATATATGTCATCTAAAATATATGCACGCTGTTGCATGGATAATTTTCTACCCTATATGTTCAGAAATGTTTAAGTTACTACTACAAACACAGAAGGATAAAAGTTGTCCCGTCCAAAACAGTTTTTGCTATGTTGAACATTTGTATGACGGAGACAACACATGCGGGTGTGACGAGTAGCCGAGCCAGCTCCGCATTTAAGGGGGGGCCCTGGGTACAACTGCGCCAGGCGCCAGTATTTTAGGGGCGCCCAAATGTTGTGGTCAGAAATTTCTTTACTTGTGAATTATTTCGGCTGCCGAGCAGGTTAAGAATGTCGGAATATAAAGTGTAATGTTACGAAATTATGTTTTTATGTATTTGACACCAATTTATTGTTGTCATACTTGTGTATTTGACAATGATTTCGAATTGTTATGTGACTAATATACGACAAATGGTTATACGTTTGTAAAACGGAGACAACACATCCGGGTGATACATCCTATTAACACGTTAAAACGACACGTCAACACTAAATAATAATATAATATTACTTTAAATTTTAAAATATGATTATATAGGTATTTCCGTATGACTGTATTAGTTGTTTATATAGTTGTATTAGCAGTGAAAGAGATTCTAATCTACACACGTAATACAAAATAATGGCAATTCGTAAAAATACTATATTTTTGTCCATTGTTTGTAAAAATAGTCAATTAATAACAAAAATATCAACTATGCTAAACTTATTGTTCAAGGACTACCTACGTCTTACACAAAATATGCGCTTTATAAATAAGCCCTGACTATTAAAGTAATATAGTATAATTATTAATTTATATTTTGTATAACCATAAAAATAGTCGTTATCTGAATAAAGTAAAATACGTATATTTAATACAATAGCACAATATTTATACCTACATACCAAAATAAAAGGAACGATTTAAAATAAAAACGGCCAGACCATACCCCATTATTTATATTACGCCGAATGCAGATTAATGGTTATTAATTCTGACAGCCAACTCAGACATCAATAAAATAGTTCGGTTTTATGGTTTTATCGAGAAATATTAATTACAGCAACATACATCATACATTTGTAAAAACAAACGTATATGTTATACTTATATTTAATATTTATATTGTTATAAATGTATAATGGTATGCAAAAGCCAAAATATCTCTTAGATTTAGGATATTTTTATATTTTAGTCATCATAATATGAAGCTCTAAATATAGGTCTGTAATGTCTAGTATGTCTACTAGTGGGAATATTTTTTTAATTATAAAATAAAATTGTATTGATTATAGGTATTTTTATATTATTTAATTATTTATCATTATTCATTAGGTACTTATGTTTAAAATTTAAATGGGTATAAAGCGTAGATCACATTGGGCTAATTTATTCACTACTCGTGTCTTGCTGTCACATTCACTGCTGACAAATCTCAGACCTCAGTACCTCGGTGCAATCAGTGATCACCCAAGTCGCCGAGTGTTAAACATTCACTGCCATCTGCCAGCGTCGTTTTTTTATAATGTATGATTAAATAATTATTTGTTACATGAAAACCAAAATAAAAATAGTAAATTGTAAATACACATAGTCTTGCAATACCGAGTATAGATATAGAAAAATTCCCAATTAAGGAAACTAAGATACACCCACGGGGCACGGTGTAAACAGCTTACACAGTTATATATAAAACGATGAAATTGAATGAAAAATAATTATTTCACTGATAAACTAACAACGTATTACAAAATAATATCTGGGTAATCATAATTCATAGTAAATTTAAATGTTTACGAACAATAATATTCACCAACTGAATAGGTAGCTGGTAGACTAAAAAATAATGTTTATACATTCTTTGGCAATATATGTTTTTAAAACCCACATCAATAATGACTAATGAGTAATGCCATAATGGCATAATGTACTACAGTCTACAAACTTTCTACTAAATATTTTCTTAGTATAGTAGGCCCAAACTCAAACTGTCTATTTTATTTTTATATGAAAAATAAATACTTCATTAAAATATAATGTATCAAGTTTGACGTTGTTTTTACAAACCTAGTTTCTAAACTTCTAAATATTTATTTTTCAAAATAATTCTACAAAATATAGTACATATCATACAATTATTTTAAATAAATAATATAATATGTAAAATATTACATTTTCAAATACTTTTAGTAAAACAGTTTGTATGAGTTAAATGTTCTATGTCCAAGGTACATGTTTTAAATCATAAATCAAACAATGGTAATAAATGATAAAACAAAATTATTCATTACTTACCATAGTGTGTCTTAAAATATTGAAAATACCGCCATGTGTATGAAATTTAAATCCTTCCCATTCCGGAACAATGAAAGAGTGAATTTTTGCCAATTGCTTATGAGGAGATCCCGCTGAGTATGTCAACATTGCATCAGCAAATTTCTCTAATGTATAAGATGTATATGCAGGATTTACATTTTTTTCGTTCTTATCTTTTTCTTCATATTTATACTCTAAATAAACATAATATAAAAACACAGTAAACTGAAGAGAGCTAAACCTGAATAACATTTTTAAATGTACCAAATTAATTTTTTAATTTAATATAAAAGAAATCCATCATTGCTATTAGGAAGGAGCTATATAAATATAATAGGTACAATGAAAATAATGAGAAGTGAATCTACAATAGTAAGTGATAGATGAACAGGATAAAAAATTACCTATTTAAGTTGCATACGAGCATAAACAATTTCAATGATAACTAAATAAGGTAGGTTACCTAGTTAGTATAGTTGGTAATTGAGAAATAATAACTTATCAGAACTCATAAGATTTTATAGATTTAATTATAGTTAAGACTAAGGATATTCTTTGCTCCAAGCTTGCTTAGCTTGCCAACTCCTTTGGATGTTTTAACTAAAGTTTATATATAATATATATAAAAGCCAAAAACCACTCATTGCTGCATCTCAAAGACTATAAAACATAAAAACTTGATATATGGAATAGTGGTTCCTTTAATGATCTAGATACCTATGCAGTAAGAAAGGATTTTCCGATATTTGCATATTAAATAGGTGGTCAACCGAGAGCTTTAGATTCACGGTGGAAATTGAAACTTTCTTTTTCTTTATCAATGGTTGCCATTGGTTACTTGGGTAGAACAGGTATAAGCATGCATCAAATTGTCACGTTGGCATCGATTAAAGAAACCATAATATCATAAACCAAATATATATGTCTAACTTATATACTCGAAAACTACTCCATTCTAAATTAAAAATTTACAAATAAACCTATACTGAATTAGATCTGGAGTAAGTAATTTAAAATAATTTAAATTACCATTTACCTACTTGATAATAATTGTTTGCATTATTTGAAATTTACAATATCAAAGCAATTATACATTTATACCTATATAAGTAGTGGTCTCACAAGTTTCATTTTGTAAGTGTACATAGGTATTCATATAAATGTATTTACAGAAAAATATTATACACAGGGAGACTTTTTAAGCATGCTCTCCTCATTTTCATGTTTAAATTATGGATAATATATTTAAATTCTGATTTTTAGAATTGTTTAGTTTAAAGACAATATTTTAGAACTCTTAGGTTGTTCACAACATTTAAGGAGTATCTTGTGGCGATACCAAAGTCGGTTTTCTAATGAAAATGTACATGTTTTTATGCAAATTTATTGTAATTCTGAAAATATTAATGTTTTTTTATTGAAATTTGAATGAAAAATTTCTGAGTTATTCTACTTTAAACCTACTAAGGAGTAAGAATAATAGAACATTAAATAATTTGTAAATGGATACGAGCTCGGTAATTATAAAGCATGGAATACAAAATATTTATAAGGAATATATTATACTTTATTCAAGTTTACTCAGAGTCTCAGACAATTTATAGTATTACAAAATTCTTACGAATTAATATTTCAGTAAATAATATAATTTTAATAGACTTAGTATTTGAAGTAATATACCTAACTAAGAAACTTTTCATTCAAATGTCTATTATAAGATGTCAACATTTTCAGAAAAATCCTCTAATGAACGATTCAAAATTTGTGTTAAAATATGCAGATTCTCATTTGATAAACCAAAATCGGTATTTCCACTGGGTAATCCATATGAAAAATCTATGTATTAGAAAATATCAGGATTTTTTTATATGCATAATCAAAACATAAAAATAGGATGAGCATGTTTAAAAAATTACCCTGTAAATCATTTTGATTTAAAAATAACAATAAATATTATTACTGAACATAAACTGTCAAGACCATATTAATTAAATTGGAAAGGTATTAAAACCAAAATAATAATTTTTATTAGGTACTTAAAGGGGTTATAAAAAAAAATAATACCAACCTAAAATAGGTTTAAAGGTACGGGGGGGTTATATAACATCTCACATTACAGTTGTGCTTTTATATTATGTAAGAACAATTTAAATTTGTATCCAGAAATATTATGATCAGAACTGTTATCTCATTCAATAATATAGGTAAATAATGGGTAATACAAACCTTCCATAGTACTAAAATCGTTTTCAATTGATCTGACAGACTCCAAAAGTTCATTAATTTGCATTCCGTTCAAAACAGCATCAGGCATGGATTGCAGCCTCTTAAGACTAACCAACATCATAGTCCTTATGTCATTTGTTTCTTTTTGGGTCATTTGCACGAGGTGAGTAATATGTCCAAAGTAGGATAAAATCTTACGTTCTTTTTTTTTTGTGAACCACACGAGTGGAGTATTTTCACTGCCCAAACGTTCTTCCATATTATCAGCAATCTCCCATGACTTGGTGACGAAATCGAGCACTTTGGTAGTCAACTCGAAGACGTCATCAACTTCATCAAAAGACACACCACTGCTAGTTGGAATCAATAACACCACACACACCAACAGGTATTTGAAATCCATGACTGTGTTCGGAGTGTGTACGGTATTTTCCGGACAATGATGCTGTCAATTTAGTACATTTGCTCGCAGTGGAGCACTCGCACGACTGAACACACAGCTCATTCAACGAACAAAGAAGCGTTAGTACTCAATAACAATATTACCCGAATCAGCGAAAATTAGACGGATAAGGATTTTATTTTTGTTATTTATTTTTTTTTTTCACGGCGGTAAAACAAACGTCTTTGTCAGGAATAATTTACCACGAAATGAATAACCGCCGATAGTGTACACTCGACACAATACGCACCGCGCACAAGGTCGCAGGGAGGGGATGCGAAAAAATAAATAAATAATAAGTAAGGACAATTTTTTTTTCAAAGGAGACACACACGTTGCTCCGCTCCACTTATTATTAAGTAATGACACATGCACACATGACACATTATCTTGAACGACAGTACTAACACTACTAACGAGTAACGACCGACGAGTGACGACTGCACGGTGCACAAGTGCACAACAATCAACAGCCGAATAGCCGATAGCGACCGAACGCAGCAACTAATTGCTATAGTCTATTACTGCAACTTACTGACTAGTGACTATTGACTATTATATTTATAATTTAAAATTGCCCAATATTTTCTATGTAGGAAGTTGTAGCTACTTGCTACTAGCTAATAATAGCTATTAGCAATAATTAATTATTATATAAGCCTACCACAATGTAGTGTACAATAAGCGTAATATTTACAATAATATTATCTCGTACTCTCGTGTGTTATCAAAACTCAAATGTTGTTAATTTATCATAGTTATCAATATCATTATTGTTATGGTCACGGATAAAAATTAAAAAGATAATAATTACCTTTTTTTCCGTGTTGATGGTTATTCGGACGCATGTTATTTTCCAGAAAAAAAACGGCCAGAATGTAGATTTGTCGAATGTTAAATAACAGAAAATAATATTACAGAATTGAAAACAACCAGAATATAAAAAGCCCAGTACATATTTGAACAGAAAATAAAATGAACGAAAATAAATACTACAGAATGTAAACTGATAAGAATTATTATCAGTAGAAATACAGAAATACAGAAATTGATATTGCAGAAATTCGAAAAGTGTATAATTCCAGAATGGAATATAACAGAACACAGTTTTACAGAATGTTATGATGCATAAAAAATGTTTGCATAAAATATTATCTTGGAAAATATTTTAACTGAAAATTATTTATTAGAAAATATATTTCCAGAAGTATATCTATAGAAATTTTTTAGTCGTTAATTAAAAATTAAAATTCGTGGGTACAAAATATAATTTTTTTACGTATGTCTGTTATTTACTTGCTAACTTAGGTATATAACTTATATTTATAATATATATACTTTATGTATAATGTATATAATAGTACAAAGTGTCCGCGTTCTGCAATGTACCATTTTACTCGACCGTACAAAGTGTCCGCGTTGTACATTTTGAACAATGGACCGTACAAAGTGACCGTTTACCCAAAATTTGACCTATAATAGGTACCTGTAATAAATTCCAAATTAATCATATCACAATATCCATTAGGTACTTATAACGCGTTATACATCAACAAAAACCGTGATACTATCATAGATACATAATAGTACACTTTAGAAGTTTCAAGTAGGTACCCACGAATAATATTATTCAATCACAACAAAATAACTAAAATAGTTATTCTAGGTTTTTTAATATGTAATTTCGGCCAAATTTGAATTTAAAATGTCTGTAAAAAATAACTGTGTTCATATATTTTTTAGATTTTTTGGTTACAGTATGAACTATTTATGAGAACCTTTGTTTTAAATTTGCAATCCTTAGCTATAACTGAATATTTTATAATTTATTAATTACAATGATTGATAATTTTCGAGATTTTGATAAATTTTGTCAAAATTCGATCTTTAAATGCTTATAAAAAAAAACTGTGCCTATGTATTTTTAATATTTTTCAACTGCTATTGTAACAATATATCAGGAGCCTTGTATTAAATTTTTACACTTTTTGGCCCAACAGATAAAACCTAATTGATATTTATAGAAAAAAAAACTAAAAAAAAATGAAAAATGAAAATGTCCCTAAACAGTTCAAAATATTTTGAAAATGTTATCGTGTATAGAAAATGCTAATATAAACAACCAGTGAAAATTTCATGTATATACGTTCATTTGTTTTAGAGTTACACCAAAAACCAAAATCGATTTTTTGGAAAACCGTTTTTCCTTAATTTTTATGTTGTTTTTCCCGGCGCTTGTGAAAACTACTAGGAAATTTTTACTTTTGACCCCCAAAGTACCAACTAGATTCACTTTCCTATCAGAAAAGCTACTGTTGAAGAAAATCCAAGCACTTTTACTTTCCTAAAACGTGATGACAGACACAAAAAAAAAACACACATCATTGTAAAATCAATACATTCATCGTTTCACTCAAAATCTAAAATCAAAAAAGAGAAATTATTAGGATAAAATTTAATAACGAATTACAATAGAATAATAAAATAACTAAACTTGACTTTAATAAGCTGTATCATTTAAATATTTACCTGTTTAAAATTGACATTAGATATTAGATAATATTATAATTGTAATTATAATTATAATTATTATTGAATATTGATATTATTATTTATTATTAATTTAACATTCAATATTTTAGACGTGACTCAATTCACCACTATCATTTTTTTTTTTAGGTGAGATTTAGTTAATCTAAAAATAATGAAATAGGGGTGTAATATGTAGGAAAGGGAGATGGTAAACTGTGGAAAAATTAACCTTTTTCTAAAATTCGATATATAAACTGCTACAAATAAAAATTTAACATTATACAATCTGCGACAAAATCAATAAGATACATTATACAAACTGCGTCAATTCATTTTATATACCTATAGGTACGTATATACATTATGTATACATTACAGTATGTACATTATAGAAGTGTCGATTTGATAACATAAATTATATAGGTACCCACATCATATTTACCTATGTGTTATTATTTAAATATAATTATGTATTTTTGTTGTTTATTTGTCCCTGCATAATATGTATATTTTATAATCACCGTTTAACGTAGTTACTAATATTGTTTGCCATTATGGCTAAACATTGTTGTAAATTCCATATTGAATTAAATATTAAATTTCTTAAACTACTTCTACTGACATTTAAGTCATCTAACTAACTAATAAGTACTATAAGTATACATTTAAAAAAACATTTGGATTTACCTTACTAATTTGTATGTAACATGACTTATTGGTCTAAAACGTATGAAAAATACCTACCTGTACTGCAATCCCCTTAAAAGTTAAAATGTAAAATAAATCATAATCGGCTATTAAAAATTATATCTCATGATTTATAAGAATATACAAAATACAAATATTGAGTGTAAGCTTCGTTTTGAATGGGTTGAAAACTAAATGCACTATGCACTCAAACCTCATAGCCCATAGGCAACGTGTGTTCACCAAAATAATAAGTACCTAATTAGTAAATACTTTTAAAAAAAGAATGCTCGTTGCGTAAGTTGTATATTTGATTGGTATTACAACATATAATATTTTTATTGTAATTTATAGTTATGTTTTATAATAGTTAGGTAATAAGTATACTTCAATTATACTACAATTAATATCTGATGGTTTGCTGAGTATTGGGTGTAATTTTTTAAGTATAAAAAATATTTATTCATTATTAAAAAAAAAATACAATTAATACATCATGTTTACAAATCATTGTTTTGGTAAGTTTAAACGACGAAGTGTAAAACAAAATTGAGGCAATGGGGGTTTGAACCCTGTTACTAACCGGCACTTGCGCAAGTGCCTGCCACTACTAGATATTGTTTTATATAATGTATGAAGTAAATATTTTGGCCTCAGCCTGGCCCACCTGGTAGGTACTAAATTTCTGGCGCCGCGACTGTTAACTCCACTAACCATCATCATCATGCAATAAGTAGAAAAATGAAATGGTCACCTGCAGCTGTGGTGGGCTGAACTTAAATTTTAAATGACGCATTAGGCTCCTAATATATTGTTACTATAGCAGTTGAAAAATATTAAAAATACAGTCACAATTTTTTGTTTAAAAGCATTTAAAATTCGAATTTTGACAAAATGTATCAATATTAAAATTTAACAATTATTTTGTGGTTAAAAACAATTTATAAAATGTTCAACTTTTATAGCGAAGGATTGAAAATTCAAAACAAGGTTCCACGTAAATAGGTTATATATAAATTACTTTATTCACAATAATTAATACCATCAAATGACAAATATACTTAGTTATATCAATATATCGTAGTATACCTCCGCCGCGCTGGGAGGCCTCTGCAGTCTGTTCAATCATTTCAATCAATAAGCCTTTTTATTTTTATTTTATTTAGCTATTAATTACCATAAATTGTTCTTATTGTTCTTTTTTTGTAACGATTTGATAATAAAAAAATGTATGATACAAAAAAAAAATATTTAACTTTTTTACTATTTTTTATGTTTTACAGCGCATATTATTAAGTATAAGTAGTATAACTTACATTTCATAGAAAATATATTTCAGTTTTCTAATAAATTAAAGTCCACTCTTTAGTAATTAGTAAATACTAAATACTAATTTATAATCATAAATAATAATTACCTACTAAATACTAATAATATGTTTAGAATAAATTTTCGATAAAAATAGTGTTGTCTTTACCAAATTTAAACGAAATAGGTACCTACTCGCGAGTCGCGGTTGATGTAGAACAGCAGTTTTGAACATTTTCATATCTGAGTACTTACCACATGTCCACCTACACAGTTTGAGAATATTCATGTACCACTTGACCAAAATGTATCGATTTAAATTTAAATTTATAATCTGTAGGTAGTATAGAGATTATCATTATCTTAATAATTATTTCTACATTCTACGATTACAAATGATCTCCACGCAGTCGATATAGGTATTTAAAACGGTATCCGGACAATTTCCCCCCGGACATTTTCCCCTCGACTGTTTTTGGCGTAGTAGGACATTTTCCCCCTTTTTTTTAATTATTTTTTTTTCATAAATATAATCAATTATACCTACTACAATTAACTTTATAAATGTATACTATAAATTTCATTTTTTTTTTCATAAATATAATAAGACATAAAAATAGCAGTATTATTTTTTATTTAGACAATCTTTTAAATATAATATTACTATTGTTTTATTGTTTCAAGTAGTTGAATTGATCAAAAATATACATCTACTATAATAGGTAATTATAGTATAATCTATATACATATAGGAGGCGGCCCCTATTCACTCATCAACGCCCAGATGAAACCGCTGGGTCTAGATACTTGAAATTTTATATAGACCTTAAGCAATGTAGGGGCGCACTAAGAAAGGATTTTCCAAAATTCGACCTACAAGGGGGTAAAATTGGGGTTGAAAGAATACGACAGTGGCGCCATCTATCAAGCGATATTTAATTTAAATATACAATATTGCTATTGCTACATTGCTTAAGGAACCTCTATATAAAATTTCAAGTCTCTAGACCCAGCGGTTTGGTCTGGGAGTTGATTCTTGGTAAAGTACACTTTCCTTTATATATATAGATATATATAAAACTGAAATCAAGCAAAAGAGGAAATCTTTGTTACGGTTTGGCTTCGAAACTTCTTATCCAATTGTCATGTAGTTTTTTTTAATGAAAGCGGATATCACGGAGCAGGTTTTAGGCATAAATAAAGTCCGATAATGTTAGTCAATAATTAGTTATCTATACATATTATAAAATCCAAATACCACTGACTCACTGATCGCTGTATCTCAAAAACTACTCAACGTACGGACTTGAAATTTGGAATAGAGGTTCTTCTCATATTTTCACGGTGCAATAAGAAAGGATTTGACAAAATTCGCATTTTAAATAGGTGCTCAAACAGGGACATTGAGATTCACGATGGAAATTGGAAATTTTATTTTTATTTATTAATAGTTGCCATTGGTTACAGTCTACAGTAGAAATTAGCATTTATTTATTGGTTGCCATTGGTTATTCGGGCAGATCAGATACAAGCTTGCATCAAATCGAATTATTGAACATTGCCTACCAGGGTGGCTGAGTTGCACTTACCGCAGCAAGTTACACCCAAAAGGAGTTCAACAATCATAATTTTTTTAAGAGTTGCGATTTTTTACGAGCAACCAAATTTGTTATATTAATCCACAGTATTATATCAAAATAAACTTGGTATAACTTTGATACTTTAGAGTTAAATCATACACTTCCGTCCAAACAGCACGGGGTCCGCGATCTACCGCAGGTAGATTGCCTACCTGATAATGTACTGCTGCGATTCAGAATTTTTATTCCGGGCAACGGAAAAGATAAGATACATTTTGAACACCATACACCGAATATTGAATAATGAATTGAACAAAGTTTGAGTCATATTGAGTTGGTCCATTTAACGAGCAACGATATGCACGTGATCGGTTTTTTTGTAATAAAAATATATTTATCATTAATACCGCTAGAAACATTTCAATACGCTTTCATTAAAAGTTTTTTTATATTTACTTGCCGATCACATTAAGCAATAAAATTTGAATAAAAAATTATACATATCATCGTCCAATGGCAAAATAAACAACCAATCACGGGCGAAGCTGTGACGGGTCGGCTAGTTGATTATATTTATAAAAAAAAAATTATATTTTACTGAAAAAAATAATTTCTTATTAAATAATAAATAGTAAACTTAAAAAAAAAATGGGGGGAAAATGTCCGCATCGAATATAATTGGGGGGAAATTGTCCGCCATTCATTTAAGAAAACCTGCTATTCTCAAATAAATCAAATGGTAAATAATAATAGGTTATATCTAATGTGAATAATGATCAATTCAATTTTTTTTTATAATGCGATATTTTTTCCGCGTACCACCTATGATGACGTTATTGAGAAACGCCTGTTTAAAATAGGTATTCTTCTTATTTTTTTCGTCTTTGAGTATTTGAATTTACAAGAGTTGCCAAGATATTTACTTTCGTTAAAAATGTGTGTAAAATAGTCCAATGAATAACAATAATAAGTTAATAAAAAATGTATAATGTCAGTATATAATTAGAATTACAAAAAAAGAATAAGAAACATAGTTAAATATTGTGTAGTACCTATATATTAGTACATAATTTAGGGCAGAGGACTTGTAGCTCTAAAAAGTTACCAAATATGCATTTAAATATGCAAAATATGCATTAAAAATATGCACTAAAATATAAAAAATATGCATTAAAAATGAATATTTTTGAATAAAAAATAAGGATTTTTCTGTAGGTAGTTATTATTTTAATTAATACATTTTCCAGGCTCATATCGATATTTTGTGAGTTGAACAATATTATCTTACTGTCTATAAATAAAATTAATAACCCAACAATCAATCTAATCGGCAACTCTCGAGATGTTTTTCTAGGAAAAACATGCGTCTGTGTAAAAGCGTCTGCGTCTGTATATAACCATATTAATATTAATCAAAATTTAAAATAATTTTAAATCCAACGTTATTTTGGTTGTATAAATAAATAAATAAAAACGTTGACAAAAAATATTGATAAAATGAAAAATGATTTAAAATATGCATCTAAAAGTATAAAATGGAAGAATTTGCCCTAAAAACCGAAAAAACGCAAAATATGCACTAAAAACTAAAAAAAACGCAAAATATGCCCTAAAAACCAAAAAAACGCAAAATATGCATTTATATGCACAATAAAATTTCAAAACTAGCTTTGTGGAAGCATGAAACGTATTTGTTTCGCACTCTGCTATTTTTGTGACTGTGCAAAAAAAATATGCAAATGCTACAAGTCCTCTGCCTTATACATAAATAATGTTTTGTTATTTGTTTTTTTTTTTGTGGAGTGAGGGGCTACTTACTAGGTAGAATACCTACTGAATACCTAGCATTATATGAATATGAACAAGCTCCCCTTGAGATTACCTTGCTAGTTGCTATAAGCATAATATACAGGGCTTTGCACCGGAATCTTTTTTTCGGGTTTCGGGTTTCGGGTGTTGAAAGAAATTTCGGGTTATTGAATTCGGGTGTTACGGGTTAACACACTTTTCGGGTTACGGTAAAATGCAAATTTATTCGGGTTAATTCGGGTTGATTCGGGTGTTAAAAAAAACCACATGTTGTATATCAATTAACATGAGATTTTCAATGCAAATTTGATATAGTAATCTGATTTAATATTTAAAGTAAACATAATGAAAAAAATTAAATTAAATATTAATACTTATTAGTTATTAGTTTATTACTTAATACTTAGTACTTACTCAGTCATTTTTCTACAGAAGAAAGTTCTCGTTTATTACATATTTTAATTTTTAACTAAACATATTTTGAATTTTCCTTATATTTATTTTTGATTAAGAAGGTTACTGGTTAGACAACACAATTACTATTGTAGTATTGTCTATTTTTGAATATTGTGAAATAAAATAAAACAATAAAATAATTAATTATTATTATTTTGTCAGTTACAAAAAACATTCTTAACCTTAACACTTTCAACTTTTAAGTTTTAACAATATAAAATAGAAATATAGAAAACAATATAGTAACAAAATACAAATTAATAGGTAATTACTTAACAGTTAACAGTCAACACTTTTAGGACTTAACAATAAAAATTTAAAAATAATAAAATACATAAATTGATGATAAATTAAATATTTAGGTAAATGACTACATTATTACTTAATAGTTAATTGTATCAAATATATGATTACATCTTAATTTATTTTTAACCAAATCTTTAATATTTGCCACAACTTCATTTGATTTATCAATAACATTTGACCTTACATTACGTTTATTAATAACATTGCAGCCATTATCCAAACCAGCCAAACCTTTTAATAAAGGATTTAAAATTTTACGAAATCCACTATCCTCTATAAGTTCAAACGGTCTTCCATTGACCGTGACTAGTTCAGTGCATGCATTCATAAGTTGGTTTGCTGTAAGCTCAATGGTAATACATTTTAAATTCTTATTTTCAAAATGTAGTTTTGATTGTGTCATTGGTTTTTGCTATAGTAAAAATTTGATAAATATTAACTTCTAATTTCTATAGGTATTTAATTATTATTTATTACAATATTTATCCAATTGGTAATGTTAAAAAATAAAAATGTACTTAGGTAGTTATAACAAGAGGGGTAAACATTAAATGCAAATGGATAAATTTGTATAATTTTGTCAATAGTTCCAATATTTTTATTACACAAACCTTAATAGTTTTCTGTTCATTACATTTCTTCTTTTTTTCCATTTCTCTTGATTTCACAGACAAATTTTTTTCAAAAATTTCATAATGCAAACTTTCTATATGGCGCTCTAAGTTTTTTGCATGCTCACCTGCAAGTTCATGTCCACAAGACTCTATTTGACATACTGACTTCCCAGTAGAAATATTAAATTTAAAATATTTGTGAACAGGGGAAGTTCTTTTTCTTGCCATTCCTATAAAGTATAATTAATATTATTTGGTATTGGTACCTATGTTACATTGATGATAGGCCTAACATAACAAAAAATGAAATACACTTACTTAATGAATTTATGTAGATAAACTGGTAAAAACTATACTGCTAAAGTGTAAAGATTTTATTATATTTTCTTTTATAACAATAACACGTGTCTGATCGTTTGGTGTTTTTGAACAATCAATGAATAATTGAATAATGAATATTGAAAAATGATTATAGAAGAATATTCTTATTGTTTGTAATCAAGCACAGTGTGGTCAATATTGAAACATCGGTAAAACATATTATTGTGTTATCTATATAATAAGTAATAACTTGTCAATGATTAGTTGATAAGCGATTATTGATAATTGAGTTATCCGCACGGACTAAGATATACAGGACTGGACACGACATGGTTGGAGGGTGTGGGGGGGTTGACTACGAAATGTTTTACAACAGGCAGTGTTCGGGGGGATATTTTCCTTTTAGCATTACTAGCGCCGTCCTAGTGGATACTTATGGAACTAGAACACATCATACAAATTTCTAGTTCCATAAGTATCCACTAAGACGGCGCTAGTAATGCTAAAAGGAAAATATCCCCCCGAACTCCGCCTGTTGTAAAACATTTCGTAACCACAATATTCATCTCGTGTCCAGTCCTGTATATCTTAGTCCGTGACACTTATACTATTATCTTCTTATCTACTTAATCGCGTTATTTGCAATAAATACATACAAATTGATATGCCACTTAATTTTTAATGATTCGGGTTTCGGTTAAACCCGAATGGAAATTCGGGTTTAGGGTTAATTCGGGTGTTTTTCGGGTGTTTATTTTTTTAATCGGTTTTGTATATACGGGTTTCGGGTAATGCTATTTATTTGGGTTAATTCGGGTTTCGGGTTTCGGGTTACGTTCGGGTGCAAAGCCCTGATAATATACCAATATACCATATTAATACCTTTAAATCTTAATACCTTATAATGTACAAGCTTAAAGTGTGGGGTTTATGAATAAATAAAAAATGCAGTTCAAATGTTTTTCCGGGAATTTATTTTCTGATTAATCTTTACTCCAAGACCATTATAATATGCGAATGGACATTTGTTACAAATGTTTTGTATAATAAATTAATAAATCCTGTGGAACAAATAAATTATGGAACAACAAACGTTCATCGGAACAAAGATATATGTAAGAAGATATATAATTGAATGGATGTCAATTGAAACAAATGTATTTCGACGAATGTAAATAGGAACAAAGGTAAAACTTGGAAATTAATATCAATGGAATAAGTTGAAAGTTGACTTGGAAAAAAAAATGTGGAACAAAATGTAGTTTCCAAAATGATGATTGATGACAACAAGCATTATTAAAGGGTTTGATATAGCTATAAAGTATAAAGGCATTGACACAAATAACGTTTGAAATTTGAGGGCAGATGAAACCCTACTATAATAATATTGAAGAAGTTTAAAAAACTGTTAGGTAATATTGGGGGGGGGGGGGGCTATTGAAATGTTTTAAAACCCCTCCTCATAGTTGCACCTATGTATATCCACAAAATATAGCCTATGCGTAAATATACGTAAATAATATATAGGTACCTCGTACCTATACGAAATTTCAAAATTTTAACTTTCTAAATTCTGAGATTTAATTTTCTGGGAAATTATGGTCTACAGTATCACTTTCTGTAATACAACGTTCTGTGATTATAATTTCAGGCTTTAAACTTTATGGAATTTAATTTTCTGGAAAATTATGGTCGACGTTATCACTTTCTGTATAACTACGTTCTGTGATTATAATTTCAGGTTTTTAACTTTCTGGGATAAAAATTCTGTACACATATTTTATGTTCATTTTATTTTCAATATGAAAACAATTCTGGAACATTAATTTCCATGTGTTTTGTTTTCTGTAATTTTTCTTTCTGTCGTTTTATTTTCTATCACTATATTTTTCTGTTAAATTTAATTTATGGATTACTAACGTTCGGTTCCTTTATTTTCGGGAAAATGATACGTTCCCGGTTATTCATTTATTATCGGTGTAATGTTACAATATTGAATATTGTTATAATTATTATTCATTTGATCATTTTTTGCCAGTAAATTTTTTGCTTTATTAATAAACAATAATATAATATCTTATGTCCATATGCATAGTCAATTTATGTGTCACATTCACTATTATTCACATAAGACATGGTTTAACATGTTTTATGTGACACATCCCACTAAACTAAATACGGTATTTAATTCAGTGGACACATTTATTGACTATGCATACAGACATTAAATTCTTATATAATTATATTATTATATCTTAATAAATTGTAATATATATTTATATCCCAACTAAAACCCCGTATAATATACGTTCATATTAAATTTGTTTACCCATTCTTTAAATATATTAATTTTAGATTCTAAGAAAACAAAACTTTTAGACAAAAGTACCTTGGGTACATGGCTTGAAGTTATTTTTATGACTGAAAACTGGAATTCTCAAAAGCCAGAATTCAACTAAACGTGGCCCCGTAGATACATGACATTTTTCACTGAATATTTATATTAACAATTTCTATGGACTAATTGATTGAGTTGCACCTACATGTTAGCCAGGGTTTGGAACGAGTTTGGTTATCAATGCAACCTCAAACCATCAGTGGGGGGATTTATAATACATAGGTTTTGAACATTTGTGAAAACAATTTTTTTTCAGAACTTTTTACGATTTATTTTATAGAAACCGGCTTCAATTTTGTAAGGGTAATTATTAATTACATTTATAGTTTTGAAACCAAAACTGTTTTTATTGAACACTAAAAACATTTTATAAATGAGATGAATTTGGACCATTTCAAGGTTCTTCATGTACTTTACTAAGTGTTGTCTTAAGAAGTCTTATTGATATTGTTATTATACATTTTCAGTAATCAATTTACACACATTATTAATAAATCATTTAACTTTCACTGGTACAGCGCCAAATTAAATTCACTAGGAATAATATTATATACCATCATAACATTAGGTTAAAAATAATGTATATAACATAATTTGATAGACAAAATAAAAAAACAAATTTTGTGTTGGAACGTTTAATTAATACTTTAACATTACAAAAACGTTAAAATTGTTTTTAATTATTAATTATTTCAACCAATAATTAAAATGTATACTATAATGCTTAGTAAAAAATAATAATTAACAACCAAATATTTATTCAATTATTAAGTTCCTCAAAGAGACATTTTATAAAATAAAAATATAATATGGTTGAAACAATTAATTAAATATTTAATTATATGTAGCTCAAAACATAAAAAAATATTATACGAAACAGTTATTTACGATAACTCAAAGTTACATTTATTTTTATATTTAACTTAAATATAATAAATTATGTACATTTAGTACACACAGTTGTTATACAAAAGCATACAAAAGTACATCATACTTAAATTATAAATGCCTATAACTTAGACGAGGATGGCCAATTTTAACTAAATATAATAATTATGCGTGTATTATGTGTCTTAAATTTTAGATATAGGTATATTTTCTAACAATACAAAAGAACAAACATATTTAAGGATGTTAGTTGGAAGTTTAAATATTTATTAATAAAGAACAATATGGCACAAAATATTAAATTAATACTTATAATTAAAAAATATATTTAATATGAATTTAAATTGGTAAAATTGTTTGTTTTATGATAAAAACAAATTATATGAAAGCTTCTATTTTTTTAGATCATAAAATGTCATATTAAACTTGATATTTGAATATAAAAATTTAAGAAATTAAGAAATGTTACTTTATATATTGACATTTTATTTAAAATGTATGTTATAACCTTATGTAAAATATTACACATATTTTTGATATAAAACGAACACTGTATAAAGACGTTTTGTAAAAATAAATAAAATGGTTTAGATGTAGGTAATAAAACTATTCATATTTTTAATTATTTGTCAAATATTATTAAATTTTTATGTACATAAACTTTGTAGAACGGAATACATTTGTGTTTAGAAGCGTAATCAGATGAATTTTAATCTAATATCAGCACATATATCTTACATAACACACATAACATATAATTCACTAATATTATTTATTCACAATTATTAGTTTAATACATTAAGCTAATATAATAATTTATTATAAACAGTTATTTTACTTCACATAACAACAGTCAATATTGTCACATAATTAATAATTTAAAGTATTTATAATTTTTAACCAAGGGAATATCTTGTGTATTTACACTTAACTATGAATTAAACGTACTACAAATTAAAAATGCTTTTATAGATCGTATAAAATATTATTCCAAATGTCTTTCATATAAAGGCGGAAAGGCAGTATTTTCTTTTCATATAGACCCATTGGTGTAAAGGGCCAAATAGATATAAGAAAAATATACAACTTACACGTTAATTTTAAAATTATGGTATACTTTACCAAAACAAAACAAAACATAACATAACAGACTCAAAGTCCCTTAGAGGAATTCTCTGATGTTGACTGCAACAGGCCAAATAGTTTTATTTGGTCAACTAGTCCGTAAGTTGTTAAATCGAGAAATGGCATACATAGTTATCAAAACAATATATGGGAGAAAATATATAGATTGGCAGTATTTAAATATGAGGTCGATATGTAGAAGTTGAAATGTGCATCCCCAAAATGAAAACTGATACATTTTCATAGTGTATAAGAAGAATGTCCACAATATACGTTTCTAAAATATATAAATGCAATAGGTATTAATAAAAATAAAAATATTAATATAAGCCATAAGCATAACTATGTAACTATCACATTTTTTTTAATAGATTTTATAAGTAAAATAAATAACTTGTCGAACAAATGAATGTATATTATGTTAAAAATAATTACTCTTTTATTAAAAACAATTTTAAATAAAATTGTCCTAACCCCTAAAATTGTATTCATTAAAATAAAGAAAAAACTTTAAATTATTTTATTTTAAGTACAAATTGCTCTAATTTAATTTGTATAATTATGTATAAGTATTCAAAATTCCATTACGCATTTCCCATTATAAGAAACAGGATAATAAAAGTAATTTGTTGGATATTGTATTTAGATTTCAAAGGCATAACAAACATTTGTTGGCAAATGTATATATGTTACATTTTAAATTTATGTAAACTTTTAACATTTACTAATTCTTATGAAGATGTATTAATTTTTTGATTGTTAAAGAACCAATAATCATGCTTTCATAATTCATATACAAATTAAACTTACGCCAGCAGAGTCAGCATAGTTACGGTACTGTCTATCATAAATATCTTCCACTGCTAAGTAAAAAGGCACTGAACACAAACTAACATAATAGCCTGTGTATATGCCATGCCACAATGCAGAAATACCAAATGCTACCAATGTTCTAAATAAAAATAAAAATAAAAATTGTAATTAATTAAAAATCTACAGCATAAACTATATAATATAATATAAATATAATTACCTAAGTTTTTTAACAGGAATTCTTCTATACACATATTCAGCAATCCAATACTGTATTGTCATATTCCAAATTCTCGTAGCTCCACGGACTGTAGAAATAGTTTCTACTTTCATAATATCAATACTTTCAATGCAATCAAAATTGTAAACCTCTTCTTTTACAGAATATCTATGAATATTACAGATAACAAAACGTTTAAAAAATTTCAAGTATAAAAATCAATACATATTTATTATTTGTATAAAAAAAACATACTCTGTTTCTAATGATTCAAAATTTCTAGTTGGACCACTTCCAGACTGTGGATCTGTCACTTCAGGATAAGCACCTATTCCAGAAGCTATACAAATAAGCTCAGAGAAAATAAAGCCCAAATATAATCTTGTGCGAAAAATAAAAAATGAAGAGTACATATACCACAATCTGTATGATAATGATGTTGATGTATAAAAAGAGTCATTCTTGAATTCCTAAAATATTTTTAATTTATACATAATTACAACTGATATGTACTTAATGGAAAATGAACTATAATATTTAGTTAGTAATATAATTAGTTAACCATTTATTATTAAACAAATTGCTATTTTCGATTCTTAACAATAACACAGAATAAAAATATACAACATAGCAAAAAACTGTTATGAGCGGGAAAGAACCAAGAAAGCCACAGTCATAACTAAGAAACCAAATAATCACCACATAAAAAGGAGAACTTTGGCTATGGAATATCGTTTATATTCTTTGGATATCTGAACTTCAGAAAAATTTATTTAAGTTTGAAAAACACTAATAATAATGGATTTTGAAACAATAAGAACTTTTTCGTGTAAGTGATATCAAAAAAATAAAAACGATATTGCACAGCCAAAGTTCTCCTATTTATGTAGTGAAAAATTTGTTTTTTAGTTATGGCTAGCCTTCTTGGTTCTTTCTCGTGACAAAATGTTTGTGCTATACCATACGTGTGTAAGACGGAGACAACATATGCAGGTGTAACATCCTCTTAAACAACACACACAATAACCTGGCGATAAGACATGGATAATATATTGTATCACTAAGTTTAGATGACTAATTCAGAGAAAATTTAAATTTTATAAAAAATTATATATATATAGGTACTATAGATATGTGAAACTATCATTAAAGGTAATACAATGTGGTGTCTTCAAGTTTAATGGAATTAGTTATAAAAAAAAAGGTAAATAATTTGTCTTATAATGTTTTACTAACAGTCAATTTATGATAGTTAAGCTCTAGGATTGTTTAATTTTTTTTTTATCCATTTGGTAGCTTATATTTTTAGTTTTGATTTTTTTTATGACATCAATTAAAAACTAAGTTAATTTTTATTATACTTTATTATTTGCTTTTTAAAATTTACAAGAGATATAAATATTAATATGTATGTATCCCTATATATTATGAGCAGCCTTTTTAAGAATACTTTTCAAATGTATCCCGAATACGTATTTAAATACTTTGTCTTTTATATTTTAAATAAATATTCAAATACATTCTTTCAAAAACATTTAAATATATATACAAATATTATTTTAGAATCAAAATTTAAAGTAGGAAATACAAAAATATTGGTAAATACAATGGTAAAATTAAAAAATATTTAGTATTCTAGAATCAATATACCAAATATGTTATTGAAATATTTATTTACTTACACTTAATGGAAATATCCATGAAGTTGCCAAATAACAAATTATTAAAGTTGGGATTATACGTATTTTTTTAATTAATAAATTAATATAAGTAGCTTTTCTCCAGTAATTATGATTGAATAAATCCCAATAAGTACGATACTTAAAATAGGGTCCTATAATATACAATATTTTAAAACAGTTAGATAATTTGAATTATTATAATCAATCTTTAAATACCCGTTTAATATTTACCTGTTAAAATACCTATATAACAAAATGCATAATGAAATACTTCTAGAATACTAGGTTGACAAATTGTTTTAAATTTTTTTTCAGCATCATATTTTGCATCCTTTTGTTTCAATTTGATTAGATAACTGTCATGGACTTCAAACGAAAGGCCAACAAGCTATTAAAAAGTAATTAATTACAAGCTTTCAAATAAATTGATATAAGAAAAAAAATTAAGCATTCAAGTTAAATGGAAAAAACAATAGTAAAATAACACTAATTTAAATGTAAATCAAAAAATATCTTACTTACAAAGACTTATTGTTGAAACTCTTTAATTTTAAAAAACTATTAGGTATTAAGTACATACTAAATTTTCCTACATACCTTTAGAGTAAGCATCATTTGTATTAAGTTAGTATGAGCTGGGGGGTAAGGTATTCCAAAATATGTTGTCATCCGAAAGAATATTAAATATCCAAATGTAAATAAGAAACTTAATATATGACAACGCCTGAAAAACAATTTAGAATAAATGTATAAAATATAAATGAATAAACATACTCATATAACTATAAATCATTTCTTTACATAATAACCTAATATTATACTGAACACAGTTTCAGTTTCAAGCAATTAGAATTTTTGTCAATTTAAATTTTAGTACAATCCTTAAGTAATATTATTCTCTTATATAAATCAAATTATAAGACAAATGTAAAATTTAACTAACATACTAAACATATACCTAAAATAAATGCTATTATTCTGATATAATTTAAATCTCATTTAATTTTAATATATGTATATTGTTCTAATGTTTATTCAGTCAATCAAAATATCTTCAAAACAGAATTTATCTTAGATATTAAATTTATCTATAACTGTTTGTACAAGTAAAGCGATTAAAAATTGTTTTATTTTATTCCATAAAATTATAAAATGAATATCACTGATATTGATGATTGAAATCAATAAACATACATTATACCAGAGTTATGGCAAAAGGGGTAATGCTAATAAAATTATTTTGTGAACATATTTTCAAGTCTTTGTTTATTCTATTCTTAATTACAATCAAAAAACAAAATTAAATTATATCAGGAATGTTTTGATATTATTTCAATTTTTTTCATAATTATGTGTAAGTATATGATTTTAAAATTCTTAGTGAATTCGGCATTCTTCCCACTCCTTAGAACTGCGCATAGTAAATACCAATATGAATATTTTTGAGAAAGAGATAAAGACTATGATAAAAATGTGAAATATTTGATGAGTGGCTGTGACCAGTTGCTCCAAACAAATAGTTTCGGTCTGATGCAGACAACTAGACTTAATATTATTGGTATAGTATATGTGGTATTAAAATTTAAAAATGAACCATTTGTGAATTTATCATGTTTTTGTGTTACTTAAATGATTGACTTAATTCTAAACAAATATTAATGTAACTAATGAAGTTGTACCTTTTATCAATTTGTATCAAAATGGAATTGACTAGTGTGCAAATTATCGGATGGACTATATGTAAGCCAGAAACTGTTAGTACAATAATTGCTCCATAAATAGTTGACATCCATTGTTTCACATTTTTGTGTTTAACTTTTCTGAATAAAAAGCTAAATAAAAATGATAAGACCAATAATCCAACATACACAGTGTCATCAGAATACATGGTTAGTTGTAGTTCACATCCACTGTACCGTAGGGACAAATAACTTCATCTTCTTACTGTTCTAACCTAGGTAGTAGGCAAGCAATAATTATTAATTTTACAAGTAAAACACTTTAAAATTATAAATATTTACAATAATAACCTAGGTACTTCATATTTGTAATATTACCTCATTAATATTATCAGTATTTAAAATTTCAAAAATGAGACCATTATTTTGACATACTGAAGTAATAAAAATGTAGATAATTTCCAAAAAATAAAAACAATAAACAATGAAAACCAATAATATTTTGATTCTGGAATATTATTAAAATTAATCGGTATATAAACAATAATAGTGTAACTACCTACTTACACTATTCTACGAACAAATAATTAACAGAATTATATAGTAATTAAGAATTAAATACTTAACAATGTATTTATATTAATTATTTTAGTATACAATATAGTGGGATGATTGATTGCCTATGTAAATAATGAGCTGATTACTGATAACCTTTATTGCACATAGTGTAGAAAAATTGAAATATTATATGAAATGTAAATAGTAAAAACAAACTTAAAATATAATGATGTTTTCTTACCTAAACTGTATGAATTTCTCAATATTCAATACAGGGAAGATCTAATAATTAGTTTTAAAATAAACGTTATGGTTATTAAATAAGGAGGAAAATCTAAATTTCAGAAATGTATCACAATTATTAAACAACTACTTTGGCGAATACTGAATAGTGATGCCAAAAAGATATCATATCATATGAATCAAAATAATATTATCAGTTTCGGCGTTTTTTGGTTATCAGCTGGTGATAAAAATGATAGCTCAATAATATTTATTCACGATGTAGACGGTAGACCACGAATTAAGATATATTATATATCTTAATTCGTGATGTAGACTGACAGACTGTAGAGAAGACCTTCTGTACACCGTGAATTTATAAATATAATTAGGGGCTAGAGCTCTTTAAAAACTCTATTAGAACTCTGTGAGTTGTGATAATATTATAATTTATATAAATTATAATAATGTTTATAATGATAATAAATAATAATGTACAATAATGACTTATAAATCATAATATATAATAATTAATACACAAATAAATTAATAAATATTTAGCATAAAATATTAATTACGAGACCACCATTCACTATGTCACATTCCTGGTAGTCCAATGCCCATAGCTTCGACCATATAAACACACATATATATATATGGTCGAAGGTCCATAGTGCATTAGACATTATTTTGTGCCGAGTACCAACATTGTTATTAGTTATACTTATAAGTAAGTACTATGACTTAAAAATAAATAAATTATAATCTTTGAGTATACTTAATGGTATTATGGCTTAATGCTATATTTGTTTTACAACGTTTGATTCCGTTTTCTCTGTTATCAGTTTATACTTAACAACCTACTCTATTTCTTTATATTATAGGTAGTACTAGCACAGAACAATACAATGGTACTAGGTAGGTCTATGATGATATAGGTAATATATAAAATATAAATAAATTTGTTTTAACTTCCACAATCCACATTTCTCAGTTAGTCAGTTTTCAATTCCACTTCTCCAAGAGTTAGATCAGGACATCAGGTGTTTGTTTTCTACGATAAATTTAGTTAGAGTCGGTTAGCCTAGGACTAATTGGTAAATTACCTATATAGCCACATAATAAATATAATCTACTGTAAACGTTGTTTAGAGGCAATTGTATATACATATTATACTGTGATATTTAAACATATTGTTACAACATTTATTTTCCTACCTATTATAGCTAATAATTTAATCATAACAACAATGAGAATTGAGAAGCATAGGTAGATATTCTAAAACTAATTAAAAATAGTGTTCTTTGATTTTATTCTCATTATGCAAGTATTCAAATTACATATTTAAACTATGAAGAATGATCTAGTTTTGTGTTATATTTTAAAAATATTATTCGTATGGGTACTTTAAACTTCTAAAGTATATTATTATATGTATACAAATATGATAATAATTCAACTCAACCGTCTACAGTATTAATAATCTAATTATCTAACAATATAAATTTAAAAGGAAAATCTTTGAACAGGGTAAACTCTGGAACTACTTATTAAATCTTCTTGATTTGTTTTAAAACGAAAGAGGAGAAGGTTTCTATGAAAGAAAATTTTAGGAAAATCAACCGGAAAATAAGAAATTTGGATGTCAAAAATACAATAAATGCGCCATTTGTCCAGAAAAAAATAAACTAAATAATAAAAAGCAGGTAAGTGGATGTCGCTCTGCTGTACAGTAGGTTACAAGTAGGTCAATGTATAATGGATTGTATTAAACTTGAATTCAATGATATAATATCATTGTATAAGAAAAACGATTCTGAGCGGAGACGGTTTATCAGTCTGGATTTTTTAAATTTTATTTTTTTATTAAAGCCTTTAAGTCGAATTGATAATTGATATTATAATATTATGTTTTTTTATTCGTTGCTACGGTGATAAACAAATCGTTAGAAATTAAAATCCCATTTTAAGTGGTTTTTCGAAATTTGCCAGTAGTTTTTCCCGTGGCATTAAATAACTATTGAGTAAATCGAAAAATGACCTCTCTAAAGTACCATATCTTGATCCAATTTTCTAAAAGATAAGGTACTATATATTGAAATCGAAGCCCTCCTTCTGGTAGAAATTTTGTATACAGGATTTACTAAATAAACACCATTGTAAAACCTCTAGCTTCCTAGCTCCGCTCAGAATCTAAAAATTAGTTATTGTTGTAGATTAAAATAATAATAGTTAATTGAATAATTAAAGTTAAAATTTTGCAAAATATATCAAAATTAAAAAAAAGGTGCTCTGCTGTACAGTAGGTTACAAGTGGGTCACTGCTGTATAATGGATAGTATTAAATTTGAATTCAATGATATAATATCATTGTATAAGAAAAACGATTCTGAGCGGAGACGGTATGTCAGTCTAGCTATAAGACATATTATATATCTACATATCTATGGTATTAAAAAAATAATTGACCTATATAATAGGTACCTATATAATAAATATTAAATTCCAAATTAATCATATCACAATATCCATTAGGTAATTATAACGCGTTATACATAAACAACAAACCCTGATACTATCATAGATATATAATAGTGTACCTACTTTAGAAGTTTCAAGTATACCTACCCACGAATAATATTACACAATCACAACAAAATAACTAAATTAGTTATTCTAGGTTTTTATTTTATGTAATTTTGTCCACAGTTGAACTTAAAATGACTATAAAAATAAAATGTGCTTATGTATTTTTTAGATTTTTTGGTAACAGAATTAACTATTTACGTGAAGTGTTGTTTTAAATTTTCAACCCTTAGATATAAAAGTTGAACATTTTATACATTTTTAACTACAAAATAATTATTCAATTTTAAATTTGATAAATTTTGTCAAAATTCGATCATTAAATGCTTATAAAAAAAAATTGTGCCTATGTATTTTTAATATTTTTCAACTGATATTGTAACAATATATCAGGAGCCTTGTATTAAATTGTTGTTGGTCCAACAGATAAAACTTTATTGATATTTATAGAAAAAAAATAAAAAAGTAAAAAAATTGGAAACTGAAAATGTCCTTAAACTGCTCAAAAAGAGTCAAAATATTTTCAAATTTTTATGGTGTATAGGAAATGCTAATATAAACATTCAGTGAAATTTTCATGTATATCTACAATTATTAGTTTTTTGAATTACAATAAAATAAGAAAATCGCTACATGGGAAATCGAGCGAATATCCAATGTTATAAAAAATTGAATTTCAAATGCTCATAAAAATTTTATTTGACTTTCTTATAGACATTGATTTCTTGATGAAGGTATATAATCTTATAAGGAATCTTGTACCACATTTTAAAATCTTAGATTTAAAAAGAAAAACTTTTACGAATTCTTAACTCAAAATAATTTGCTAATTTTCGTGATTTTTCCATATTTTGTCAATTTTTGAACTTTAAATGCTTATAAAAAAAAACTGTGACTAAGGATTTTTAATATTTTTCAAATGCCATTGTAACAATATAGTAGGTTGTATTAAATTTTCAAGCTTTTTTAAAAAACAAATAAAATTTTATTGATATTTTTAGAAAAAAAACGGAAAATGAAAATGTGCATAAACAATTCAAAATAAATCAAAACATTTTGAAAATGTTATAGTGTATAGAAAATGCTAATATAAACATTCAGTCAAAATTTCATGTACCTACGGTAATTTATTTAAGAGTTGCACCAAAAACCAAAATCGATTTTTTCAAAAACAGATTTTAGTGTAAAAATTCCCGTTTTTCCTTAATTTTTATTTTGTTTTTCTTGCCGCTTTTGAAAACTACTAGGAAAGTACCAACTAGATTCACTTTCCTATCAGAAAAGCTACTGTTGAAGAAAATCCAAGTACTTTTACTGTCCTAAAACGTGATGACAGACACAAAAATAAAATAAATAAAAGGTGGGTAAGTGGATGTCGCTCTGCTGTACAGTAGGTTACAAGTGGGTCACTGTATAATGGATGCTATTAAATTTGAATTCAATGATACAATATCATTGTATAAGAAAAACGATTCTGAGCGAAGACGGTATGTCAGTCTAGGTTTAAGACAAATTATAATATACATATAATGGTAAGTAGGTAGGTATATAAAAAAAAAATATAATAATATAATATAATATAATATAAATTATAATGGTATTAAAAAAAAAAAGGTGGATAAGTGGATGTCGCTCTGCTGTACAGTAGGTTACAAGTGGGTCACTGTATAATGGATGGTATTAAATTTGAATTCAATGATACAATATCATTGTATAAGAAAAACGATTCTGAGCGAAGACTGTAGGTCAGTCTAGGTTTAAGACATATTATATACATGTCTATCGTCTATGGTATTAAAAAAAAAATTGACCTATAATAAATACCAAATTAATCATATCACAATATCCACTAGGTACTTATAACACGTTATACATCAATAACAAACCCTGATACTATCATTGATATATAATATAGTGTACTTTAGAAGTTTAAGTACCCACGAATAGTATTATACACTCACAACAAAATGACTAAAATAGGTATGCTAGGTTTTTTAATATGTAATTTCGTCCCAAATTTGAACTTAAAATGTCTGTAAAAATAACTGTGCTCATATATTTTTTAGATTTTTTGGCTACATTATGAACTATTTATGAGAATCTTTTTTTTAAATTTTCAATCTTTAGCTATAAAAACTGAACATTTTAGAATTTATTAATTACGATGGTTAATAATTTTCGAGATTTTGAAAAATTCTGTCAAAATTCGATGTTTAAATGCTTATAAAAAAAAATTGTGCCTATGTATTTTTAATATTTTTCAACTGATATTGTAACACTATATCAGGAGCCTTGTATTAAATTTTTACACTTTTTGGCCCAACAGATAAAACTTTATTGATATTTATAGAAAAAAAAAACTAAAAAAATTGAAAACTGAAAATTTCCATTCACAGCTCAAAAAGAGTCAAAATATTTTCAAAATTGTACGGTGTATAGGAAATGCTAATCTGAACATTCAGTGAAATTTTCATGTATCTATAGTTATTCGTTTTTGAATAACAACAAAATAAGAAAATCGCTACATGAGAAATCGAGTGAATATCCAATGTTGTAAAAATTTGAATTTCAAACGCTCATAAAAATTTAATTTGACTTTCTTATAGAATTTTTTTTTTTGATAAATATAGGAAATCTTATAAGGAATCTTGTATTACATTTTCATATCTAAGATTTAAAAAGAAAAATTTTTATGAATTTCTAACTCGAAATAATTTGCAAATTTTCGTGATTTTTCCATATTTTGTCATTTTTTGAACTTTAAATGCTTAAAAAAAAAAACTGTGACTAACGATTTTTAATATTTTTCATCTGTCTTTGAAACAATATAGTAGGAGCCTTGTATTAAATTTTCAAGTATTTTTACTCAACAAATAAATTTTTATTGATATTCATAAAAAAAAAAACTAATAAAATTGGAAACTGAAAATGTCCCTAAACAGTTCAAAATAAATCAAAATATTTTGAAAATGTTATCGTGTATATAAAATGCAAATATAAACAACCACTGAAATTTTCATGTATCTACGGTTATTTGTTTTAAAGTTACACCAAAAACCAAAATCGATTTTTTGGAAAACCGATTTTGCGTAAAAATTCTCGTTTTTCCTTAATTTTTATGTTGTTTTTCCCGGCGCTCTTGAAAACTACTGGGAAATTTAAATTTTGACCTCCCCAATGCACCAACGATATTCACTTTCCAATCGAACAAGATACTGAAGTCGAAAATCGAAGCATTATTTCGACAACTATTTCGACTACTTATCGTGTACACAGACACAAAAAAAAAAAATAAATAAATAAAAAAAATAAATAAAAAAAAAACACACATCATTGTAAAATCAATACATTCATCGTTTCACTCAGAATCTAAAATAACACACATTGTAAAATCAATACATTCATCGTTTCACTCAGAATTTAAAATAATTTTGTGGTTAAAAATTTATAAAATGTTCACCTTTTAAGCTAAGCATTGAAAATTAAAACAAGGTTCGTAAGTTAGTTATTCTGTAACCATAAAATCTAAAAAATATAAGAACACAGTTTTTTCATAATTATCTTATATTCAAATTTGGACGAAATTACATATCAGATAAATAACCGAGAATAACGATATATACTTTTTTTGTATAGGTACAATAATATTATAGGATTTATATTATGCAAATTTAACACCATCCATTACAGTGACCCACTTGTATAAGCTACTGTACAGGAGAGCGACTTCCACTTACCCGCTTTTATTTACTATCATTGTATCTAGTTATAAATTAGTAAAGTATAGTATATTATAGACATTAGAAAGTATAGTTATAATAACTTATAAGTTTGCACTATAATATGAAAAACTAAAAATTAATAAAATATAACAGTTTCTATTAGAAACTGTACAATTAATAATAAGTAGGTACAACAATTATGAGTTACCTATGAATCATGTCATCATGACTAGCTAAACTGCTAAAGGTACTGTTGGTCGCAGGCCACAGCATTTAGATACACGCAGTGGACAATATTAAAAAAAACATTATGTGTCGGTGGGTCACTCCGTCAACTATGACCAACTTGACCAGTAGTTGACGTAAACCTTAAGGCACCATAAGACTCATTTTATTAATTTCTAAGAACAATATTTAAAGAATTCGTACGCATATAAATGTTACTGGCTAATTCAATCCACATCTTAGTATCGATAAGTTGTTTATTAATTGTCCAAAGGTTTATTTTGTTTAAACATTGAATACCATAGTTATACATTATGATTTTTAAAGCATTGACTTTAATTTCTATAGTATAATTTTCATGCTATGGATCACAACATTATCTTATAACAGTTCATTAGGTATAAGATTGAGCCATGAGTAATATGAAACACATTTCCAATAAAGGTAAAATTACAAGTCTAAAATATTTCAAAAACTGTATGGTATAATTTACTTATTTGTTATAATACATTTTAATTTGATAATGTTTTTGGCCAACTCAAAACAATCTATTAATGTGTTCAGGAATTCACGATTATAAATAAATTATATTTATTTTATTATACTCAATAATCAATTTCATAAAAATAAAGGTAACATCATAATATTGTAATAATAATAATAAAAAAAAATGTATAGAATATATTGTGTGTAATAAGCAGCGACTACAAAGTTATTTTTAAAAATGAACTTGTTCAATAAGTTTAACAACTTTATAACTGTTTACCAAATACCAAATATAGTGAGTTTTATTGTAATATATATTTATGATATAAATAAATGTTTTTGACTTGCTTTGATAGCTCTTATCTATCTATTTCTTAACAATTGAACCAATCTCAGTTAGCTCAGAAGCACGTAATATAAGTAGGCAAATTAATCAATCATACTATTTAAAATTAAGCTATTATAGTATAATATATAAAATCAAAAAGAATTTAGTTTTTACACTTTTCAATGAAAAATATCATTATCTATTAAATAAACAATTTTTCTTATAAGTTATAATGATTTCAATCCCCTAATAAAAAAACCCGTGAAAAAATAACCCTATGATAAAAATTTGTATCCCTAACACATATATTCGTGAGATCTCAATGTTTAGTGGAGGATTTTAAGAGGCTCTGAAGCTGCACCACCTACCGTTCCGTATAGATATTGAACTTTTTTTAAAATTATAAATTACATAGGTATCACGCAGAAGTTTACGAGTTATAGAACTAAACGTATTAATAGTAGACTGCTATCAAAAAAGAGATTGTTCTTGATAAGGAACTAATGAACTTTATTCTCAATGCACAGCACCCACTATAAAAAAATTCTCCTAGATTTGCCACTGTCAATTACAGTCTATGTATGGTCTAAAACAGATAAATGGAAAATGTTTTAGTCATAATAAATTTGTATCACGATGTCAATAATAATATATATAAAAAAAACAAATAGTCAATTTTTTTTAAATTCATTTTATTATGTCAGTAATAAATGTATCAGATCGATATAGCTGACAGACCATATCCGCACTGCATTGTTTTTATCGTATGTAAATGCCTATATAAAATGATTTATTATTGAATCCACATTTAACAAAAAAAAAAATTGAAAAAATTGAAAATTCCCAAAAATTCCCTACCTACCTATTTCAAAAGATTTTTTCCCACTGTTCTACGGTAAGGTCTAGTATTGATTCAATAGTTATAGTAACAATAGTCAATAATATAATATGAAAGAAATATAATAATTACTCTATTATAATAATTAAATATTTTTAATTTTCTATCATTGAATTCGAATTGAACACATTCATTACACCTAACCTTTTTTTTTTTTAATTTTGCAAAATTGTAAATGGGGTTTATTTTTACCATAGTTATTCTTTTGGGGTCTAAATTTCAGGGGTTATTTTTCATGATACCAATAATTTAGCTACGAGGTACCTATTTATATGTCCTAACCTATTATACCTATACTACCTCTAACTAGTAACTGCACTACACCACTAAATTCTACTACACTCCATGTTTGTTATGCTGCATAGTGCGCCACTGCCCACTATTTTGGCCTATATTACGATAAATCATGTGTCTTCAATTGTTGAACATACTTCAGGCAATATCATATATTTGCTTACCTAGACTTAAACTATTGCTAATTTCACTTACTAATCTAACCTAACCAAAAGCAATATCTTTTTGTACAACGCTCTTGCCCGATATTGTTACTGCATACGCCTATAACTATACTATTATAGATATTGTCCATAACATAGACAAATCGTTACAAATGATGAGGGACACGTGGAAAAAAGACACCGAAGATATGCTCATGTCACCATTAGCGGTGAACACTGACGACATGATTGTCGTGACGATGCCGCCGTTGGAATTTCTCTACTTTGATTTATTGCCCGACAGAATAAAGATTACAAACAACGGCCTGACTGGTAAGGTTACAATCATGAAATTATGAAATATTACCTATATTATACATATTATAGAGATCACTATAATTTGTATGGTTTTAATTTTCAATAAATATTGACGTTCAGAACCTAGGTAGTGTGGTGTTGCAGAGTACTTGAATCAGAAGCTGTAGTACAGTCACTATATAAACTAAATTGTTATTTTTAGTCCAATGCTCTCAGCATACACCACCTATACCTATAATAATAATTACTATTTAAATAAAGATATCTTATTGTTTTTAATCAAACAATAGATGTATAGGTACTTTTTCTAAATTACTTTTTGGTAATTACTGAACACATTGGCGTCATTTGTGGGGTGCAAGAGTGTGCTTCATATATATATATATATTAGATACGGGCAAAGTAGCAAAGTATAAAATGTCGACGTTTTATAAAATGACCTTCTTATGTTGGGCAATGTGATATAATGAATAATGATATATATTTATAAGTTATACTATAAGATTTATATTAATAGAAGATTTAAAATTTTTATTTATTTTAATATTATTTTTGGTCGTTTTTACCTAATGCTTCCATAGCATTTTGATGTGCATACTGCATAGTCGCTCCACTGCTTTGCATTTGCACTTCCATATTTTACGTATTTTTTGTACACTCGAGAGTCGAGAGTACTACAGCCCTGGGTCCTGAGTGCTGTCTCTATCGGAGTGAATTGTTGGTTCATCGCACATCATCAACTTCCAGAAATCGATCTTTGCAAATTACAAATTGGTTTCCAAGTCTACAGATTTTTATCTGTAAATCCGTGTTTAATCCAACCCTACAGGTATATTTTTATTTTATTTTGACTATGCTTTACGATGCATAGTAGCATTATGTATATTTCCCAACATACGAAGGGCAATATATAAAACGTCCGGCTGTTGTAGAAAACACCCAAATTGTATACTTTTATATATACCTATTACCTATACCTATATGTGTGTATGCACATACGTTGTAACTTGTACTACACTATTACACATGTATTGTATGGCTTACGTTATATAAAACGTTATATTTGACAAAAAAATGATTGAAATTTGTAAACGTAATTATAAAGGAAAGCGATAATAAAAAGGTGCTCTGCTGTACAGTAGGTTACAAGTGGGTCACTCTATAATGGATGGTATTAAATTTGAATTCAATGATATCATATCATTGTATAAGAAAAACGATTCTGAGCGGAGACGGTATGTCAGTCTAGGTATAAATAAGACATATTATATACTTATCTATGGTATTAAAAAAAACTGACCTATAATAGGAACTAGGAACCTATAATAAATTCCAAATTAATCATATCACAATATCCATTAGGTACTTATAATGCATTATACATCAACAACAAACCCTGATACTATCATAGATATATAATAGTGTACTTTAGAAGTTTCAAATACCCACGAATAATATTATACAATCACAACAAAATAACTAAAATAGTTATTCTAGGTTTTTTATTATGTAATTTCGTCCAAATTTGAACTTAAAATGACTATAAAAATAAACTGTGCATATGTATTTTTCAGATTTTTTGGTAACAGAATTAACTACTTACATGGAATCTTGTTTTTAATTTTCAATCCTTAGATATGAAAGTTGACAATTTTATAAATTTTTAACTACAAAATAATTATTCAATTTTAAATTTGATAAATTTTGTCAAAGATCGATCTTTAAATGCTTATAAAAAAAATTGTGCCTATGTATTTTTAATATCTTTCAACTGATATTGTAACAATATAATATCAGGAGCCTTATATTAAATGTTTACACTTTTTGGCAAAACAGATAAAATTTAATTGAAATTTTTAGAAAAAAAAATAAAAAAATTGAAAACTGAAAATGTCTGTAAACAGTCAAAATAATTTCAAATTTTTATCGTGTATAGGAAATTCTAATATAAACATTCAGTGAAATTTTTTTGTATCTACAGTCATTCGTTTTTGAATTACAACAAAATATGGAAACCGCTACAAGAGAAATCGAGTGGATATTCAATGTTGTAAAAATTTGAATTTCAAACGCAAATAAAAATTTAATTTAAATTTCTTATAGACATTTTTTTTTTTTGATAATGGTAGATAATCTTACAAGGAATATTGTATTTCATTTTAAAAGAAAAATTTTTACGAATTCATAACTCAAAATAATTTTATAATTTTCGTGATTTTTCCATATTTTGTCAATTTTTGGACTTTAAACGCTTATAAAAAAAACTGTGACTAAGGATTTATATTTTTTAATATTTTTCTTTTGCTTTTGAAACAATATACTAGAAGCCCTCTATTAAATTTTCAAAGTTTTTTAAGCAATCAATAAAATTTTATTAATATTTATAGAATAAAAAACAAAAAATTGGAAACTGAAAATGTCCCTTAACAGCTTAAAATAAGTCAAAATATCTTATGATGTATAAAAAATGCTAATATAAACAGTCAGTAAAAATTTCATGTATCTACGGTCGTTTGTTTTAGAGTTACACCAAAAACCAAAATCCAAAATCGATTTCCTCGAAAGCTGATTTTGGGTAAAAATTTCCGTTTTTCCTTAATTTTTCTTTTGTTTTTCACGTCGCTTTTAAAAACTACGGCAACATTTTTACTTTTGACTCACCAAAGTACCAACTAGATTCACTTTCCTATCAGAAAAGATACTGTTGAAGAAAATCCAAGCACTTTTACTGTCCTAAAAGGTGATGAGACACAAAATAAAATGAAAAATAAAAAAACACACATCATTGTAAAATCAATACATTCATCGTTCCACTCAGAATCTAAAATAATTAAATACCGCAAAACAAAACAACGATTAACAAAATATATTATACATCATTAAACAAAACATAACGTAAAACGTAATTCATAGAATATCATTGAACGAAAAATAACGCAAAACGAAATATTTAAAATTTTTTATATTAAAGGTTTATTGGTTTCGTAGAAACATTTATTTCATGCAAACAATCTAAGAATTTAAGAATTGATTATATTATATTCCGTATCCGGGTCATTACCTACCCGTATTAGTTATTATTTTTAAATAATATAGGTATTTTTTTAATAGGTATTAACACTATTTTAAATAACGATAAACGCAAAAGTTGTGTAATGTTTTAATTGTGAATAACATAAAACGGAATGACTCAGATTTAAGTGATTTATGAGAATTTTTAATTTACACTATATTATATACCCATAACCTACAAAAAAATTGAACCATCGTAAAAAATCCACATACAAGCACAGATAATGTGCTCAACATCAAGTTGCATAATAGTATACCTAACCTAATAGGTCGGATTCACTCTAATTTTAAAACTAACGGAGCTAAACGTGATCTGCTGAGCGTAAATTATTTATGTTACACACTTGTAAGGCGGAGACAACAAATATCTATGTAGCGTCCTCTTAAGTTAATTTGATCATATAGATATAGACAAGATAGTAATTTATAATAATTTTGAAGTTATACTTTTTTACGCAGGGTAGTGAGGAAAAAAAAAAGCGAACGGGCGGCGCGTACGAACGGGCGGCGTGTATGAACGGGCGGCCGTACGAACGCGAAAGCGTACATGTCCGTAAATAAATAAATATTGTCATGGTAGTGTTGTTATATTATATATTATATTATATATTATTGCAACTGAATAATGATCCAACAATATCGACTAATAAATCAGGCACAACAATCGATGCAATTTTTACGCGATATATGGATAATGTTCAGTCACAAATGTACGTTTCGTATTTCAGTCATCATATGCCAATCATAACTACTATACCGATTGAGCAAAATGATAATCAATCATTAGCATAAAAAATAATAATTAAAAAAAAAAAATATAAAAAATATAATTTACATTGTTTCTTTTATTTCTTTATTATCCTCATTACCCAGTCTATCCATGCCTTTCTTTCTTTTTCACTCACTCACGTGTACCATTCAAAAGAAGTTTAACTTCCCGCGCGCGTACTGATAACACACACACTTTTTTTTTTATTATTATTATTTCATAGCCATCTATTTATGAAGATAAACTGCAGATAATAGCTTTGGGTATATAGTAAAATATAATAAATAAACCTTCTTGAAAGTTTTTATTCCCCACGAATATTTTTGAACTAGATACAACAAAATAGGGTAACAAAAATCATTATTTTTCGTTTAAATATTCAGTTTTGTCAAAATTTAAACTTCAAACGCTTATAAAAAAAAATGGCTAACTATAAATTGTATTATAAAATAAAATAGGTACCTACATTATAATATTTACAAATTGGCAATTGCTATATGAGAAACATATATGGTATATTGATATCATGTCATCATGACATTGTGCTATTGCATTTTCAAGCATATTATAGCCAAGCATAAATATTTTTATTCATAGGTACTACTTAAAAAATTATAATAATTTCAGAGCTTAAAATAAGTCTAAATATGTATTTTGAAAATGGCATAGACAATGCAAGAGAAAATGTTATTTTGTGTATCAACGGAATGTTTCAAGTATCTACTACGATTAATACATTTTGATTTACAACAAAAAATGACTAAAATAATTTGATGAAAAATTTATATTTTGTGTGAGGATATAGCTAATTTCGTCGAAATTCTAACTTCGAACGCTCATAAGAAATTATTATTATATATCTACTCAGAGTTTTTTTAAATTCTAGAATTAACATTTTATGAGGTAGGTACCTTGAACTATATTACCAATCTAAAAAATACTTAAAAAAATCAAAAATTTTAAATGTCTATCAAAAGCGCAAAAAGAGTCAAAATATTCCAAAGTTACTATTTACTAATATAAACATTTAGTGAATATTTTAGATTCGGAGCGGAGCGAGGAAGCTAGTGGTTTTACAATGGTGTTTATTTTTTTTTTTATATATCCTGTATACAAAATTTCTACCGGAAGGAATCCTTCGATTTCCACATATAGTATCTTATCTTTTAGCAAATTGGATCAATATGGTACTTTAGAGAAGTCATTTTTTGATTTTATCAATAGTTATTTAATTCCACGGTAAAAACCACCGAAAAATTACGAAAAACCGCTAAAAATTGTATTTTAATTTCTAACGCTTTGTTTATTACCATATAGAAACGAATAAAAAATAATAATATTATAATATTAATTCAACTTACATAATATAATAATTAATGCCAGTATAAAATATCTAGACTGGCAAACCTCGTGTCCGCTCAGAATCGTTTTTCTTATACAATGATAGAATATCATTGAATTCAAGTTTAATACAATCCAATATACATTAACGCACTTGTAATCTACTGTACAGCAGAGCGACGTCCACTTACCTGCTTTTTAAGTCTTACCCCAAATAATTTTTTTCAAATATTAAGAAAATTTACTGGAACTTATTGAACTTTTGATAACTCATAAGTTATATTATTAACTTGATCCACTTTTATATCAGAAAAAACATAAGTTAAATATTGAAGCATTATTACCAGTGTTCGGATTAGATAAGTACTTTTTTTCCTAGATAAAAAAAAGATGCAATTATTTTTAAAATGGTTTTAAATTTAGGTATATTTTAGTTGGGCACTAGGAACATAATAATAATAAATAATAATGATATAAATAAAAATAATAACATTATTTATAAACCAAAAACTTTGTTTGAGAATCTGTATATATATTTAAAAACGCTTTTGTACAATTTCGCGATTTTTATCAATAAAAATGCATCTAGATGAATTTATTTAGATTAGTAAAAACATTATCTAAGATGAACGTTTAGGTACCTTGTAACTATTTATCTAGATATCTAAGATAAAAAATGAACACATAATTATCTAGATAAGTCTGAACACTGATTATTACTGCTTCAAAAAATGGTAATACTCTCATCATTGTAAAATCAATATTCACTAACATTCACTCCGCTCAGAATATAAAATTACAAGTGGTAATTTTTTAATTTAAATTCGCTATAGAACATAAATGTATTGTATAGATCATACATATATTTATTAATCATTAACGAAAACCGTGCGAATACCTGTGCAATATGTCAGCGGTGCCTGTATTGTAATGTTGTCCAATTTGCTCAATTATTCGTGTGGTACACAAGGTTCGGTCGTGTGAAATATGTGCTACGTGCAACATTATAATTTATAGTAACGTTGAATGGATTGTGGGCCACCGATCGACAACCGTGCATCGTGGGTGCCAACCTGGACGACAAGTATAATTTTTCTCATTTGCATTTCCACTGGACGGACGTCGATGATGGTGATGATGTCATAAACGAACACATCGTCAACGGTCGAGGGCAAGTATCAGCCGCGCACTCGTGGTTGGGGGGAGAGGGATTATACGTTTTCATACTTCCCCTTAAACACGTCATATACTTATTACATAATTACCACTAATTTGACTTTCATGGCATCGAGCGCAGTCCACAGTAATAATTATCATTTTTATTGTCGTTATCTACTAGGTTGACATTTCAATGAAAAAACTGGGGACGGGGTACTATTTTTTCATGTTATCTTATAGTTAAGGATACCTACCCTCAACCCATTAAATAGCCATTCAACAATTGCATATTAAGTATTGACTATGATGCGTTGGAAAGTATATTATAATTTAATTCAAAATTATTTAATAAGTGTAATGCTTGAACAATTATTTTTATAATAATATATTATAATTTGAATTTAAACTTCACGCTATGGCTAAGCACATCCAAGCCCCTCCTGTGTATATAAATTATAATAATATACTATAAAAGTAATAAATAATTATATCATAACCCATGAAAAATATTTGTAAATTACAATAAAATTGATATTCTCAGTTCAAATAAATATCTAATTTTGATCAAATTTGAAATTTAAATATCTATAAAACAAAACTGTCCTTATATACTTTTTAGATTTTTTCGTCACAATATAATATTATACTTATGAAAAACCTTGTTTTACATTTTCAATTCTTAGTAATAAATATTGAACATTTTATACATTTTTTAACTAATAAATAATTTTGTAAAATTTTGAACTTTAAATGCTTCAAAAAAACAATCGTGCCTAATTTTGTATCTTGAATTTTTTCAACTGATATTATAAAAACTTATGAGAAACCTAATATTACATTTCCAAACTTTTGGACCCACAGAAAAAAATTTATCTCGAATCTATAATATAATCTAACCATAATAGCCAAAATATTTTTTTAATTTTATCCTGAAAATAAAATGACGATATAAACATTTGGTAAAAATGTCAAGTGTTATTAGTTTTTGAATTTCAACAAAATAAGAAAATCGGTCTATTAGAAATCGGGTGAATATTCAATCCTGTAAAAATATGAATTTCAAACACTCATTTTTCCAGTTAACTTTTTATAGTTTTTGTTAGGAAAACTTATGAGGAATCTTGTATTTAATTTTCAAATGTTAGATATAAATAGAAAAATGTTATGAATTTCTAACTCAAAATGGTTTGTTCATTTTTGTAATTTGGAAGAATTTTGTCAAAATTTCAACTTCAGACTCTCATAAAAAACTATTGTGGATATAAGCTCAATTTTTTTAAATTTCCACTAACAACTTCTGAATAACGTTGTGTTACGTTTTCCGACTAAACGAAAATTCTTATGCCTATAAATATATCAAAAAGAATCAAATTTAATGGTGTATAGAAAATGGTAATCAAAAACACACTCTGAAAATGTTAAGTATTTACGGTATTAAGTTAAATCAAAAAAACTAAATTGATTTAGTCGGAAATTGGTTTTGCTAAAGCCTAAAACATTCTCGTTTTTCCTAAATTCTTTTTTTGTTTTCCCGAAGTTTTTGACAATTACTGTGAATTTTAAATGTTGACCTCTCAAAAGTACCAACTAGATTTACTTCGAAAATCGAAGCTTTCTCTCTGCTAGGAAATTTTTACAGAACGACACAAAAACACACTTCTTTGTAAAATCAATATACATTCATTGCTCCGCTAAAAATCTAAATTATACCTACATTAAATTATAAATTATTTGTCAAGTATAAATTGTATTTTTCAATCTTACTTTAGGAACCACTTATAAAATATATTAACTTTAGATGAAAAAGTAACTTAAATCATCCGGACGCAATTCATTCAAAAAGCTACGTTTGCCTAACTTGGTTAGTAAGTAGTTACTAACCCAAGTCGCGTGTCCCCGAGATGTATAACTTTTATGTTACCAGTGTGGGCGTGTGGCAGTATCAATGTAACCAAGTTTGCATCACAGACCTCGATCATATTACGCAAATGATTCATATGTGATATGTCCATCTATAAGCATTAACGCGTATATTACACTTTAGTCTATATGACTATATTTAGACTCTATACCTAACAATGAATATCTATAATTAACAAATAGGTAACTATAGAGCTTATAGAGAACTGAACCTACTTTAGAGTTTAATACATAATGCTACAGTTGACAGTTGTACCTACGTATTCGAAATGCATCAAATATTAAATTTCCTGTTAAATGATAAGTTAAGCTGTTAGGTTCGCTAAGGATTAAGTATAGGTAGGTAAAGCTAGTTTTATTCACTTATTACGGGTTTTATTTAAACATCATTATTAATGATTCATTAATATACCTTCTCCATCTCTAGACACAAGCTGGAAATGCATTTAATATTTTTCAAAGGGTCGTGTCAAACAATTTACGAAGCTGAATCAACGAAAAATGGTTTGGTAACGTTGGCATATTTATTTAACGTAAGTAAATAATATACTGAAAATGACCCTACCGCAGCTTACCAGCTACCTTCCTATACTGCAATATATAATTACAATCTAATTGGTGTTTCATATAAGGAATTTTCTTTAGCTAGTGTATTATTACTATTTACTAGAACTACTGTGTTACTTTATAATTTTCTTTTTGTACCAACGCTGTTATTATTTCTTACCTAGTCATAGGCGCAAATAGGGGGGGGCTTTAGGGGATAAAGCACCCCTAAACATTTTCTACATTTTGTCTTAAGATTATTCAATATTATCAAAGTAAGGCTTTAGCCCCCCTCCAAAAAAAAAAATCCCAAACGCTATTTGCGCCCATGTACCTAGTATATCTACCTACCATCTAATACCTATATAATGGGAAATATCTAACATCTAAGTGAGTGATAGCGAACATATGACACACGGATCACTGAATGATACGCTCGAGTTTCCAAAAAAAATGTTTTGTAAATTAAAAATGTGTATATTTGTATACATCATAATAAATACTTGGGTAGGTATATATATGCAGTTTATAAGTAAATACCTAGACCTAACAATAAAAAAAAATGTCATTAAAATAGATGACCAGCAGCGAAAATAAAATCAACCAGTCTTTATTTGACACACAGACACAGGTGTAGAATATTTTGCTGTCCCTAACCTAATAGTTAACCCATTTATGTAGGTATATAAATATCATATTTTTTAGTCACCATTTGAGATTTCTTTCAAAATTTTAATACAATATTTATACATTTAATTTTTACATTAATTATAACTTTTAAGGACTAAACTAAACAGATTATAAAAAAGCCTATTTTGACTTTTTCTTAGAAGATTCCAACAAAATATGTTGCATTAATGAAATAAGTTCCCACGAAGATTGATAGGTTAGACACGATAGATTGACCTACTATGAATACTAAATAATATCAATAAAATTATAATAATTTAGCATACATTTTTTGTACTTTCATATTTTAGTATTTTAGTCCCTTAACCATTTTTTCCCTTTGTGTTATCGCAGCTGATGTAGGGACTGCATTGTCTGCATTAACATTACTTCCACCCGGGTTAGCATTACTTCTACCTGGATTAGCATTACTTCCTCCTACTTCCTAGTCCCTTTACTACCTACATATGCATAACTGTAGGTACAAGGTAGGTATCTATAAGTTATAACAAACTTTCCGACTTCCAAAGCACCCATGCAGTAGGTATATTATAATATAAAAAATATATATGTATATAATGTATATATTTATTTACAAATGATGTTGTATATTATGTGATAATATCTCTATAGTTTATCCGTTATCGCCTATATTTCTATAATAGTAGGTAGGTATCTATATTACATTAAACTTACAATGACCGAAAAGTTAAGACGCTTACCAATATAAAAGTAAAAAATACAAATATATACAATAACACTATAACAGTATAACTTACTGCACAGTTTGACTAAACTATGTAAAGCAGTATTATTACTTATACATGTTTATATTTTATCTAAAACCTATCTCTGAAAACCATATAAGTTTCTAATGGAAATCTACGAAATAAATTATATATTTTATAATATACCTATTACCTAGGTGTAGTTCTGTAGGTTTGTTTAAGCGAGAAGGTAGTTGGAAAATTGATTTTAATTGATTCCCTATTTAAAAAAAAATTAATAACTAGGTTGGCAGTTAATGATGTACCTATATTCCATATTTCAAAATACCTACCTACCTATTTATTGAATATTGACGCATCGTGCATAATATGTGCATTTATTACTTATCGAATGCATAATCTTAATTATTATTTATTAACTGTTAAGTAGGTAGTGGTATAGTCATTATACCAATATTACAATAATATAAATTTGTACCTAATATAAATAACTAATAGTTAGTATTATAAATATGATATAATATACCTATGTGAGTTACAAATTACAATATATAAGTATTTACTATTTAATAATTCATAGGTCACAGAAAACCAACATTTCGGTATAGATCATATAACTAGTTATTTGAGTTATGTGCGAACATCAGGCCAAACAGCTGAAATAAGACCTGTTTTTCCATTAAGCATTTTGGTTCATGACCAACCAAGTGAGTATTTTACGTACTGGGGAAAAAACGATAAACGCGGATGCAAGTGTGGGGTAACACAATGGATAGTATTTACCCAAACGTGCGATGTTAATCGTGAACAGGTAAGACATCACCTGAATACCTATGTAGTATGTACCTATACCAGATTTATATAAGGAATATCCGAATATTACAGTTCTAGTAAATAGTTAGAATGTTAGATATTGGCGTAAATCTGATTGTGTCGTACGATAAACGCTCTTATTTTCTCTTTGTATAAAAATAACGAGATGACTTTTCAAAATTTCGAATAATGCAACAACCAGATTTAATGTATTATATTATAGTAAGTTGTAGGGTAGGTAGGTAGCTTTCTGTAGGTATTAAATGTACCGCTGTCAACATCGGAACTCCACCACAACAGCTAGAGTCCGAGTCTATCATTCGCTTCGCTCAGAATCTAAAATTCTATACCATATTGCAAAATATGTGGATGTGGATCTACTGCCTATCATGAACCATGTCACCCGTAATCATTAGATATATGCCTATCGAAATGTCGTAGGTATTTAATGTTATCACACTTAAAACAAAATTATTTTGAATTTTGAGGTCCGAACAACGAGTACAACTATTCATAGTTGTTATTACCTATAGTATCCAGAGCCGGACTGGGCAGGCGGGATACCGGGAGTTTCCCGGTGGGCCGCTCGTTTAATTTGGGCCACTTGTGCTTGTAGGTGCGTTTTTTTTTAAAGATTATTGGTTGAGACATTCTGTCAATAGACATAGACACATTTTCTAATGCGATTGAATTGAATATAATCTAACCTTGAACATGGATGTGCGATAAAATATTAAGGAAATTCCTCAAAATGGATATGAACAAATGTATAAATTGCCAAAAACCGATCGTTAATCGGTTATGTATCACTTTCTTATCGTACCTAAGGCACGTTTGCGCCTAATTTACAAAATTAGTTGAGCATTTAGTAAATCGCGACGAGAGTATAACAAAAGCTAACTTGTTATATGAACTACAAGACTTTTCTTCAAAATGGGACCGCTTAAAATTAAAACTTGATGAAGAGTACGAATTTGATAATTTTATTGACGAGGAACAGCAATTAGAACTAAAAGAAAGCACTAACAATTCTAATTTAGAAATTGAAAAAAAATCGTCAATATTATGTAATAAAATTAAAGCGTGTCGAAATTGTATTTTGTGTTGCTATATAGTACTACTGAAATATAATCTGTACAGCGAAGCTTACAAGACACTATTTTTTGCATACAAATTCATTCTATCACTGTCGTCAACACAAGTAGCTTGTGAAAGAATGTTTTCAAAATTGAAATATATTCTCAATAGAATAAGAAATTCATTGAGCCATGATCATTGAGCCGTGATCATTGAGCCATGATCATTGAGCCATGATCATTTAGAATCATTTATGCTCGGAAAAATATGTTTTTAAGGTTGTTTTTATAGGTATACCTAAGTGGGCCGATTTTTTTTATTTTCCCGGTAGAAATTGTTGACCCAGTCCGGCCCTGATAGTATCGTTCTACCGGCAGGCAGAAAACCACTCCAACTAAAAAGTTTCGAACATAACAACCTTGCAGTTGCATTTTCGCCAGTTGCCCACACTAATTTTTAGTACGGAGTATGTCAACATTTTTTACGACAAACCAGCTATCATTAATTTGATTTCCAAATAAAAATATGTTTTATCAATTTTGTTACATTATATTATTATTGTAATATGTTTAAATTCTTAATAGTTATTAATTATTAGTAAGTTCATCTCATAATTAAATAATCTAGGTACCAGTCATCCATAACCCATTTTAATAAGGATCTCGGTCGACACCCCTTTAACACCCTCAAATTAGTAATTCGAGTGAACCACTGACATTCGCTATGCCTATAATACTTATAATCTACAAATAATACAATGTATCTGTTAACAACGTTCCTATAAACAATTATAAAATTATAATATTTAAATTTAAAAATAATAATTTATGTACCTAATTTGTACTTTCCATAATATGCGGCGTGCGTTTCGACGTATTTATGATCAAAAAAACGTCACTCTCAGATGGATCAGTTCCGTTGTATGCTGAACAAACGCGGGCACACGATCAAACGGAATTATCGGAAAGCCAACCCGGTGCCACCCGGAAACAAAACTCGTCCATATCTCGTAGTGTTAGATGACGTCCATGGCAGCAAATCGACGGCCCTCGACGTTGTACCAGCGGAGGTGGTAGTGGCAGCGGTAGACGTCCATGGCAACAGATCGACGGACCTCGACGTTGTACCGGCGGAGGTGGTAGTGGCAGCGGCAGTCAGATCACGTTCCAGAGGACTAGGGAAGACTTCGAGACGCCGATCGTTGGCCGTCATCGCATCGGCAGAAGGCGACAGTTCGAGTCGGACCCTGTGCATCAAGCCCACCAAAACGCAACTGTTGCGGCGAACGTTTAACCTAAACAAATTGTCCGTCCACAAGCGTAGTCCAGCAAATGCCAAGACGACTGCCATACGTACCAGCAGACAGTCCGAACGCTCGCAGACGGCCGATTCTGAAGCCGAGAACAATTTGCGGCCGACGTTATCGTTCAAAACGACCAGACCGTCGTGGAAGTAAATTGCACATAGGTAATAATATTGTGTACACCGTGCATGTATTACGTACCGAGGTTTACGACCAACTGTTGTTATAAACTACCTGTTATGTTATATACATTGACTGATATAATAACGTTTATTTTTCAATTTTCAATTGTATACGACCTTGGTCTTGGCCCTTCTTTAAAATAACTTAAAACTTTTAAAAATTTACGTTTTATACAATTTATTCACGTATCATAAATCATAATTATTATAGGTGCTAACTCTTTAAAAATGTTTATTCTCTAAGAAGCCTTCAAGAATATTTTTTTGCAGTTTGAAATAAGTATATCGACTTTTGGGGAATTTTTTCTGATTGACCGGGCCTAAAATAGTATCTGGCTACAGTTATTAAATAATCGTAGATTGCGATAACAAAAGATAAAGATAATGAATGTTGATAATCGACAAGCTGTAATGGAAACTGAATGTGTTACAATAAAGTGTAACTTTCAACAAGAAAAATGTAAACATATGTAAAAAAAAGTACAAAAACAAATAAAATGCACCAAAAATACCAAAAAATGACCATAAATTCCCAATAAATGCAAAAAATACAAAATAAAAATTGTACCATTAAATTCAATATTCCAGGAATCAAATTTCTGTTAAGACGAGCCTCGAATTTAAGGGGCATGTACCAGTTGCCCCCAAAAGTACCTTTTTTATACCAAATCCCCCCAAACTATACCTAGAGCAAAATGTACCAGTTGCCCTCAATCAAATGTACCAGTTGCCCCCAACCGAATATACCAGTTGCCCTCATATGTTAATATATACACTTTTCTAAACGCCCATTAAAATTTATACGGGAAGAAGTTCAATCAAATGTCGTGGATGTAACATTAAACGATGTAAGCTCCATTCGCAGAAGCATTTATCGTGCGAGAAGAAAAACCAGTTAATTAATAAACAAGTTAATTCAGCATTAACACTATTACAATTAAATACTTACATAGGTGAGAATTTTCTATTATATAACAACGAGACGGAAAATTGTATGATTTAATGCACAGAATAAAATTTAAAATTTTTATGTTCCCGAGACAACATTTTTGTAGACGGAACATTTGAATAATGTGCGAAATTTTTTTTATAACTTTATACAATACATTGTGTCAAAATGGACATTATATTCCATTAGTGTTTTCATTACTGCCTAACAAATCATCGAAAACTTTTATATAATATTATATACATATTATTTAATATGTTAAAAAAAAAATGCTCTAGCTTTGAACTTAAATTCAATCCGTCAATCATTGTATCTGATTTCGAACAAAGTATCCATGTAGCTTCCAAAGTTGTTTGGCCATTAATTACAGTCGTGGGGTGCAGATTTCATCTAACTCAGTCATGGTGGAAACACATACAACAATTAGGATTAAAGCCGGATTATATAGATTCAAATTCAGAAATTGGAAAATGGCTTCACTTAATTTTCTTTATCATTTTTCTTTATCAGAAAAATTAGTTGAATTTTCTGACTATTTAGTTGACACATATATTTCCTCAAGTTCGACTTTTCCACCTTCACTGTGGGCTATGAATTCAATTGATTCAGAAAGGACTACAAATGCATGTGAATCATTTCATTCGTCATTTTCGAGAAACTTTAGTAGTGCACATCCAAATATTTTTATTTTTGTAAATGTTATAAAAGAAGTACAAACAAATACATACATTGCTATAAGCAGTGGTAAACGAAATTAAAAATATAACTAATCGCGCATACTTAAACAAAAAAGCCAGAATTGAAGATTTTATAAATAAATATAAAAACAAGAATATTAGTAGATTCGATTTTGTAAAATCTGTTGGTAATTATTATAACAAGACATAATACATAATTATTATATCTATTTTTTTTTTTTTTTTTGACAAATTATGTACATTCAGTTGGGGGCAACTGGTACATTTTGTTGAGGACAACTGGTACATTTGGTTGAGGGCAACTGGTATATTTTAAAAATCCCGGTAACAGCCGTGGGTGGCAACTGGTCAACACCCAATGTAAGCATTAGAAAAAAAGATGCAAATGCATCAAGTTCCAGGCCCTCGATAATACATACTTATTATACTTATCAGATATCAACCATTCTTACTGTAAGTTGTGGGTATGCATGTATTAGCAATTTAGCATAAATGGAATAATATAATAACTTGCGTGCATAGGTACTAGAGACCAGGGATGCAAATTATTTTGACGCTATGTGCCAAAAATCACATTTTTATTTTTTTTGAGCGTGTCATTAAATTATGAAAAGAGGTACATAAAAACTGAGGGAAGTACATATTATGAGCATGCAGCTATTTTTCGGTCGATAACGTTTATTGAATTTTCTCTGTAGATATTAATATATACATTATGATGTTATTTATTATTAAAATTAAAAATAATATATGTTTATAATATAAATATTTTAAATTTTGAGTGTCATGGATTTGTCATCCCTGCTATAGACTGTATACACATAATATAGCCTATGGGTTATATTTGGAGGGTTGGGGGGTAGATTACTTTGGCTAACATATTATTATAGTACATCAGGCCTGTCATAACTTACATGTGTGTCAATGCAATTTGACATGTTATATTATTAAATTAAAGGGTGTTGGAGCATTAATTATAATTCTAAGTATGTAATTTATTGTCATTTCTATTTGTGCGTATCGCCAATAGGCATTGTTACAGGTGTCAACAATTTTCATTACTATTCTTAACATTTTGTTTTCAAAAAAAATAATTAATATTTTGTACAATTTAAGATCGAGATTCTGTATCTTAATACCTGTTTTCAATAATGTAAGTTTGTATGTATCTGTAAAACCACCGAAAATGTCAATGAAATTAGTTTATAATATATTGAGATCATAAACAAAATGTAATCATTCTTTGTATAAATTTGTCACACAATTGGACATATGTTTTTCTGAAGAAAAATATAAACTATTGTTCAATATTTTTAAAGTATTTGCTTAACAGCCACTTTATTTTGATATTAATTTTCACACTTGATTGTTTTATAGAAAGTTTACAAATATTTTTAATTTAATAAATTGAGAATTGTCTGATTACATGTTTTTACAACATAATTAGGCGCCATTCATAAACAACTAGAATTAATGTTGATTTTACAAATTTACATGTCAGAAATGCTCCATTTGTATGCTTCATCTTCCACAGCTTTCTGAGAATTCAGCTGCAATAACCATTTCTGTTCATAACCATTTGATCTGTCTACACCATCCCATGCAAATCCTGGACGTATGCCAAACCTATTTGGTGGACAAAACCCTCGAAATTCTCTTACTTCTAAAAAAAAAAAAAAAAAATATATTATGATTTATTATAACAACTTAATTAACATTAACTGTGGACTGAGAGAAATATAATTTGATTTGTCTTTAAATATGTTCTAATGGGTAATTAAAATTTACAAACATTGATAGAGAAAGTAAGCATTGCTAGTGATTTACCATGTCTCACACCATCAGGAGAATCTTCGCCTGATCCTTTATTTTTTGTTATATATTCGAGCATTGGATCTCCATCTCTGATTTTAGACTTCAACAAATTCTCAAGGTCTTGATCGTCTGCATATCTTGCTAATGGTTTTTGCATCTCATGTAAATCAGACTGGTATTGTTCCTGAGCATCCTTGACTTGTTTTACACTACAATTATAAATTATATATAAAATATGTCTTAGTGTCTTACCCAGTATTCATAAGTTAGTTAGATCACTAAGAAATTAAATCCTGATAATCTATAACTGATATATTTAACATATATTTTTTTTAAAAAGCTTTTAGTTCAATACTATTGTAGCTCAACAATTAAAATAAAATAAATTCTAAATATTGTTCGAAATTACATACAGCTGTTAGGCTGTACACGCATATAAAACTGAGCAGGGGAGAAAAAAATAATACAGATGATATTATGATAATGATAATAATTATGGGAACTTCATTGTGATTTTATTTATAAGGACTATGAGAAGAGAAAGTAGAGGGTGTAATAAAGTTAATTTTTCAATCAGGAAACTGTATATTGGATCAGAAATATTGTGTTTGCTGTTATGTTAGAGTATGATGGATTTAATATTTTAAATATGTTTAATAAGTATGGTTTTATACTTTTATCAATAACTATTAATACTGTATAAATTAATTAGTTACCCTTTTCCCCATATAGCATATTTTGCTTTATGTTCTTTTAATAATACTTCTTTCTTTTTTTCTTCTTCACTTTCTCTTTTGAGATCTCGTTTCTTACCAGTTTTTCGGTCACGTCTAATAGGTATACCATTTTCTATTGACTCTTCGTTTTTCTTAAAATGTAGTATATTATGTTATAATTTACATATGTTTATTTAGTGATTCAACTTAAACTTAAATACCTCTTTTATTAGATCATTTAAAGTAGATTTATTCATTTTTTGCACATAATTGTTGACTTGATCAACGTCAATTTTAGTAGAATCTTCTTCAATGTCACTATCACCACCTATTCGTTTCCACCGATTTTTATTTTTGTACATGTCCAATGTTTTAATATCTTTAGGCCTTTCATCAATAACGCCTACTATTTGAGGTGCAAACTCATCAACTGGATCAAATCCAATGTTATTTTCATTTTCATTTTCAACACAATCAATATTGTCATCAATAATTTGTACTCTACGACAGAAATGTCAATAAATAAGTATTTTTGTTTATAATATTATATTACAGCAATTAAGTATGGTTCTTTAAGCAATTTAGTGTTGTATTAAATTCTATAATATTGTTATGTTTTACTTTTCTATTTTAATCAGATGAATTATAAATAAAAATTTTAAAAAAATAATATTTTGTTGCTTTTTTAACACATTGACTACCAGTGACAACAGTCATAATATGTAATTCTCAAATTTTATATATTTGTGACCATGGTGGTCGGCGCCCATAGTTGATCATTAATACCATGACTGCTGGCGTATGTACATTAATATGGTTTTTAATTAACTTTTCTATGATACAAATTATTTATACAATAATGCACTAAAAAGCATTTGATGTAAAAAACATATGTTTTTTTTTGCTTACATTTTTAAATGTTTTTTCAATTACAATTTATAGTCTATACAAATTTTGGAATGACACTAAAAAATATGCTTGATGTACCTATAATACATATTGAATGACCGCTGGCAGTCACATGGCAGTAAACTTGTTCAAATGATGGTGCATATTTGATGATTTGTAATGCTTATTTGATAAGCATATTGTTTTGTGCATTATTACAATCAAATTTAAGCTATTTTAAGTTGATTTAAACATACAATCCTTAATGACAAACAAATTTAAACTAAGTTACTAGTATGTTATGCAAAATTTAAACAAATACAACCTGATATTTATATATTTACTAAATCATACTTAAAAATGAGACTAATAGCCTTGGTCAAATTTTAAAAAATACCTTTTTTGAATTTTAGTTTTGTCTTTCTTCTTTTTTCCACCAGAAAGATATCTTTTTAGATAATCCTTTTGAGATATAACTTTTTTTTTGGTCTCTGAAAATATAAAATATATCATTTTAATAATTTAAATATAATTTAAATTATGTTAGCTGTTTACATTTATTAATGTATCTTTATAGGCTTTGGTGGTACCTTTGAGTATTCATATACCGAGTGATACATTTCATTCACTCTTAATATTTAATCTAAATTATAAAAATAATATACATTTTGGACCTTCTTGACTCTTCCCCCGTGAAAATGTTTGGTTGACAATATAATATATATTATTATTATTTATAATCATACATTTTAATTAAATAATCACTATAAACTTTAAAGTATACTCATAGACCTCGGTATAAGATCTATGAGTATACTATACAAAATTTACACAAAATAGGTACACTTGAAATATAAATATTAAAAACAACAAGAAAAATTAAAATAAGTTATCTTTCGTGAAGAAAGATTAGACCAACTGTCAATTACTAGATGTATAATGAAGAAAATATTAATTCATTTTTATGTCTAAAAACAATATTTTTACATATAGGGTGTAACAGGCGTGAAAAAAAAAGTTATACTAGTTAGACATATGACAAAAATTATGAAAATTATATGGATAATAAATAATTTAAGAAATATACTTGTCAGGAAATTCCAAAAAGAACATTTTGAAAAAAGTTGTTACATTTCAAATTAATAAAAAAAAATATTGATCTTTAAAAAATGTAAAATATAACTACTTGACTAAATAAACGTTTTACTATCAAAGTTTGTCTGAATATTAGATTTACAAATTGGTTATTTTGAATATTTCCAATTTCCTTATTTTCAGTATTAAAAATAAAAAGTTGTACACCTTACTTGTAGTACAGGCATTATATATACATTATATATAGGTATAATAAAAAAATGTTTTAATATTGAATAGAATAAAAGTTATTTTATAAATCAGGTCTTTCTGTTACAACCTTTTCTATTGTATAAGGACGGGTCTCACAAGTGTTTTACTGATTTTGTAAAGCATTTTGTATGATTGTATGTCATGTATAAATAATAAGTTGTAACTGATATTTTTTACATCTTTTGTTAGTACTTGATTTCCTTTTAGTTAATTATTGGAGACACTAAATCTATTTTATTTTAAGGTACTCCTCATTCCTAATATTATCAAATGTCAAAATTAAAAATAGTTTGTATTATACAGGGTGGGGCAGTGAAATGAGCGATCATCCTATATAGTTATTACACAAATCGCCCAGTTCACTGCCCCACCCAATATTATAATGCAATAGTCCGATACAAATATTGAAAGCAAAAGCATTATTTTAATGTATTATAACCGTATTTTGAATTTTCCAATATTGTAGAATATGAAGTTTGCTCTTTATAAATTGAAAAACAGTTGACGACTGTTTGAATATACATATTTGATACTATCGCAACTCAAGTAAAACAATTAATGTACATTGTACAAGCAATATAAAATATTGTTAAAGCAAAGTTAAAGAGTTACCTAATTTAATCCTATATCAAAAATCTGCTTTATATTTATTAGTCTACACACTTTAGAGGAACTAGTGCACTATTTGTTTACATTGATCTTTTCACAATATTTCAATTTTTATGTTAGTTATGAGTATGTAAAATGCAATCATTTAAAAATGATCATATCATGCTTTAAAACTAAAATATTATAAAAAAGTAATTATAAGAACACAGTTAATTTTCTTAGCTGTAAGTTTTATAATAGGTAAATACTAAAACTAACAACATAAGGTTGGTTCTGAATGTTCTGATGTTGGTCAGTGCGTGAAAACAAATAGTGCGCTGACATATTCTTAACACATTCACTGCGGATCATATTTTTGTATACTTGTCGTGACGCTGAAAAAATTTGAGTTTTAAAAAAAAAAATTGCTAAAAATTGAAAAATTAAAATATCAGTGATTATGAAGCAATACTTATAGAAGACGCTGACAAAAGTTAGATCGTAAAGCTGACCAAATGATAGTCCATTTAAATAACAAGGTACATGACGCCACTTGGCGTCATTCAGCATATGTGAACTATGTAAACTATGTAAAATGACGCGATTAGGCGTCATCCACAGTGAACATGTTAAGTCGCAAAAAACACAATACTTCGCTATGTCCGAGTCTGAGTGAACAAAAAATGTTTGATTTAAAAAAAATAATCACTTAATTTTTTACTCACCTTTTTGTGACATGTTGTCTGCTAAAACCACAGATATATTATTATTATATTATTGTATATATGTTATCGTATATATCTGAGGCTACAACAGTAAGATAGATCTATTAAGTAGATCTTAATTCGTGTACTACACTAATTAAATCATGATGTACGTTCCACAAATATATAAAAATACTAGATAGATAACTTGGAAATGTTTTTGAAGCCAAGAAAATGGCCGAAATTCTCTTATCTGAGAGGTGAATGTTTACATTTTCATAACACTGATAAAGATATTATTGTTATCAATTTGTCATAATATGATTAATATTTTAAATTATAAGTTTAAACTTTAAAGTTGTATAACTTGTATACCTAGTTAGTTCATGAAGTTACTTACATAAGTCTTAAATACATATTATCAACTTTTAGCTTATTCAACAGTTATGTAAATAATGTAATGGTGCATGCGAATATTACATTATTTTATAAAAATTTGTTCTATTGTAAAATATTTTTAAAAACAATCTGAATTAATTAATTAATTAAAAATTTTACATTCTTTTATTATTTTTGAAAAACTATATTTAAAGTCAATAAAACAAAACTGGTATACTACAATTTAAAAAAAAAAAACAAAATAAAACTGGTACCTACCTATCTACTAGTAGTATACCTAGTCGTATAATAATAATAATAAAATATTTAAAATCAATAAAACCGGTATACTACCATGTATAATAATAATCATAAAATATTTAAAATTAATAAAACAAAACTTGTATCTATACTATACTATTTTATAGTGCTACATATTATAGTAATAAATATAAAATATTTCAAGTAAATAAAACAAAACTAATATATTAATTAATTTAATAATAGGTAGTATTTCTACTCAAATACTAATTTTACTTGAGTACCTATTCAAATACGTAGATGCCTCTGGTAGGAGCCTAACTCGACTACTTATCAATAACGTAAAACAATCCTTTGCTATAAAAATATAGTATTAATTAAGTATAATTATTATAAGCATTGACATAATATAATGATTATAAGTATTATTATGTATGGTATCCATGTATTCTATTTTTTTTTATGTGCAATGGCATTTATTATGTTATTTAACATACAGTTTTATATTAAATTAAAAAAAGGTGGGCAAGTGGGTGTCGCTCTGCTGTACAGACGTACAGTAGGTTACAAGTGGGTCACTGTATAATGGATGATATTAAATTTGAATTCAACGATATAATATCATTGTATAAGAAAATAATTCTGAGCGGACACGGTATGTCAGTCTATGTATAAGACATATTATATACTATATACATATCTATGGTATTAAACAAAAAATTGTCCTATAATAAATTCCAAATTAATCATATCACAATATCCATTAGATACTTATAAAGCGTTATACATCAACAAAAACCGTGATACTATCATAGATATATAATAGTACACTTTAGATGTTTCAAGTACCCACGAATAATATTATTCAATCACAACAAAATAACTAAGTAAAATTAAAATAAATAGTTATACTAGGTTTTTTAATATGTAATTTCGTCCAAATTTGAATTTAAAATGTCTGTAAAAAATAACTGTGTTCATATATTTTTTAGATTTTTTGGTTACCTACAGTATGAACTATTTATGAGAACCTTTGTGTTGAATTTGCAATCCTTAGCTATAAAAACTGAACATTTTATAATTTATTAATTACAATGATTGATAATTTTCAAGATTTTGATAAATTTTGTCAAAATTTGATCTTTAAATGCTTATAAAAAAAAACTGTGCCTATGTATTTTTAATATTTTTCAACTGCTATTGTAACAATATATCAGGAGCCTTGTATTAAATTTTTACACTTTTTGGCCCAACAGATAAAACTTTATTGATATTTATAGAAAAAAAACTAAAAAATATTGAAAGCTGTAAATGTCCATAAACAGCTCAAAAAGAGTTAAAATATTTTCAAAATTGTATGGTGTATAGGAAATGCTAATATAAACATTCAGTGAAATTTTCATGTATCTACAGTTATTCGTTTTTGAAATTTGAATTACAACAAAATAAGGAAATCGCTACATGGGAAATCGAGTGAATATTCAATGTTGTAAAAATTTGAATTTCAAACGCTCATAAAAATTTAATTTGACTTTCTTATAGACATTTTTCTTTTGATAAAGGTAGATAATCTTATAAGGAATCTTGTGTTTCATTTTCAAATCTTAGATTTAAAAAGAAAAATTTTTACGAATTCTTAACTCAAAATAATTTGATAATTTTCGTGATTTTTCCATATTTTGTCAATTTTTGAACTTTAAATGCTTATAAAAAAATTGTGACTAAGGATTTTTAATATTTTTCATCTGCCTTTGAAACAACATATTAGAAGCCTTCTATTAAATTTTCAAGCTTTCGCAACCAACAAATAAAATTTTATTGATATTTTTAGAAAAAAAACTAAAAAAAAATGGAAAATGAAAATGTCCCTAAACAGTTCAAAATAAATCAAATATTTTGAAAATGTTATCGTGTATAGAAAATGCAATTATAAACAACCAGTGAAAATTTCATGTATATACGTTCATTTGTTTTAGAGTTACACCAATAACCAAAATCGATTTTTTGGAAAACCAATTTTGCGTAAAAATTCCCGTTTTTCCTTAATTTTTATGTTGTTTTTCCCGGCGCTTGTGAAAACTACTGGGAAATTTATACTTTTGACCCCCCAAAGTACCAACTAGATTCACTTTCCTATCAGAAAAGCTACTGATGAAGAAAATCCAAGCACTTTTACTGTCCCAAAACGTGATGACAGACACAAAAAAAAATATAAAAATATAAAAATATAAAAAAAAACACACATCATTCTCCGCTCAGAATCTAAAAAGGTGCTCTGCTGTACAGTAGGTTACAAGTGGGTCACTCTATAATGGATGGTATTAAATTTGAATTCAATGATATAATATCATTGTATAAGAAAAAAGATTCTGAGCGAAGACGGTATGTCAGTCCAGGTATAAATAAGACATATTATATACTTATCTATGGTATTAAAAAAAACTGACCTATAATAGGAACTAGGAACCTATAATAAATTCCAAATTAATCATATCACAATATCCATTAGGTACTTATAATGCATTATACATCAACAACAAACCCTGATACTATCATAGATATATAATAGTGTACTTTAGAAGTTTCAAATACCCACGAATAATATTATACAATCACAACAAAATAACTAAAATAGTTATTCGAGATTTTTTATTATGTCATTTCGTCCAAATTTGAACTTAAAATGACTATAAAAATAAACTGTGCATATGTATTTTTTAGATTTTTTGGTAACAGAATTAACTACTTACATGGAATCTTGTTTTTAATTTTCAATCCTTAGATATGAAAGTTGACCATTTTATAAATTTTTAACTACAAAATAATTATTCAATTTTAAATTTGATAAATTTTGTCAAAGATCGATCTTTAAATGCTTATAAAAAAAATTGTGCCTATGTATTTTTAATATCTTTCAACTGATATTGTAACAATATATCAGGAGCCTTATATTAAATGCAAAACAGATAAAATTTAATTGACATTTTTAGAAAAAAAAATAAAAAAAATTGAAAACTGAAAATGTCCGTAAACAGCTCAAAAAGAATCAAAATAATTTCAAATTTTTATCGTGTATAGGAAATGCTAATATAAACATTCAGTGAAATTTTTTTGTATCTACAGTCATTCGTTTTTGAATTACAACAAAATATGGAAATCGCTACAAGAGAAATTGAGTGGATATTCATATGTTGTAAAAATTTGAATTTGAAACGCTCATAAAAATTTAATTTAAATTTCTTATAGAATTTTTTTTTTTTTTGATAAAGGTAGATAATCTTATAAGGAATCTTTTATTTCATTTTAAAAGAAAAATTTTTACGAATTCATAACTCAAAATAATTTTATAATTTTCGTGATTTTTCCATATTTTGTCAATTTTTGGACTTTAAACGCTTATAAAAAAAAACTGTGACTAAGGATTTATATTTTTCAATATTTTTCTTTTGCTTTTGAAACAATATACTAGAAGCCCTCTATTAAATTTTCAAAGTTTTTTAAGCAATCAATAAAATTTTATTAATATTTATAGAATAAAAAACAAAAAATTGGAAACTGAAAATGTCCCTAAACAGCTTAAAATAAGTCAAAATATCTTAAAAAAGGCATGATGTATAAAAAATGCTAATATAAACAGCCAGTAAAAATTTCATGTATCTACGGTCGTTTGTTTTAGAGTTATACCAAAAACCAAAATCCAAAATCGATTTCCTCGAAAACAGATTTTGCGTAAAAATTTCCGTTTTTCCTTAATTTTTCTTTTGTTTTTCACGTCGCTTTTAAAAACTACGGGAAAATTTTTACTTTTGACCCACCAAAATACCAACTAGATTCACTTTCCTATCAGAAAATATAAGCCGATCAGAAAATCCAAGCACTTTTACTGTCCTAAAAGGTGATGAGACACAAAAAAAAATAAAAAATAAAAAAACACACATCATTGTAAAATCAATAATTCATCGTTCCACTCAGAATCTAAAATAATTAAATACCTCAAAACAAAACAACGATTAACACAGTATATTATATATCATTAAACAAAACATAACGTAAAACGTAATTCATAGAATATCGTTGAACGAAAAATAACGCAAAACGAAATATTTTAAATTTTTTTATATTAAAGGTTTATTGGTTTCGTAGAAACATTTATTTCATGCAAACAATCTAAGAATTTAAGAATTGATTATATTATATTCCGTATCCGGGCCATTACCTACCCGTATTAGTTATTATTTTTAAATTTAATAGGTATTATTAACACTATTTTAAATAACGATAAACGCAAAAGTTGTGTAATGTTTTAATTGTGAATAACATAAAACGGAATGACTCAGATTTAAGTGATTTATGAGAATTTTTAATTTACGCTATATTATATACCCATAACTTACT